CTTTGGTATTTTGTAATTTGATAATTGATTTCAGATAGCCAGAGTACAGTCAATTGTGACACTAACAGATCCAATTCATATAACTAGTCTTTCCCCGTGTTCGAATCCACCTCTATTAATTCAATTGCTTTGGTATATTGAAGCTTGAATGCAACAAGAAAAACAGGTGTCAAGAATAAAGAGAATAAATATTAGAATATGTGACAAATACAATTTGTTACATCTTAGATTTTTTTCAACATATGATTATTATTCCTTATAAAACTCGTCTTTAGAAAAAAAAATAATATCATAGACATACATATTTATTTTAATAATTACTTATATAATTATATAGAAATAGATAAAAGTAAATTGATTTTATAACATGTTTTGAAAAAGCTTTCTAGAAGCTTCATATTCATGGCTTTAATTTTATATATATTTGCAATTGGTTGGTAGGTTAAAAAAACTTGATCAACTAATTAGCCACATGTCACATGTATTGATAGCTTGTGGAATAAGTTAACTACGTGGTGTATATATAAAAAACTTGCCTTATAAGTTAAGACATGTATCTTACAAAGTCAATACTTATTAAAGGTCATATAGAACATTACTATATAACTTCCAATTAGATAGTATATATAAATGTAAGAATAAAGCCTTCTTCATTCTTTTCAATGTATTTTTAGTCTTTAGTCTACTTTTAAGACTTTGTAATCTCTATGTCTTTGGAAACAGCTATTCTAGTTCAATATATTACTATCTTTAAGTATATTTCTAATCTTTTCAAGAGATATGAGAGTGTATTGAATTTTCTTTCTTTTTGATTCATGTCTTTGATAAGAGATCAATACAAATGCCTATTTTAAGGAATAATCTCAAGTTAACATGAATAATAAGGTATGGATATTTTATTATAATATGAAGACTATTTATCTTTTTGATAAGTTGGATTATTGAAGGTTTGGACCTTTTTCTATTTGTGAACAAATCAATCCAATTACTTATCAATTATAGCTATTGAAGTCAATGAAGATGCATCTCATATTTCATATATTTCTTTTTTAGCCATATAAGACAATAAATATCCCAAGAAGAAGAAAAATATCCTTGCCTTCTATAGAAGTAGATAATTATCAAGAATTCAAGGTAGAAGAAATCTTAGATTCAAGGTAGTACAAAAATAAATTGGATTATCTTATTTATTGGCATAAAAATAATATTAGTGAATGCACAAGAAAGCCAATAATGAATCTTGCAAATATTGTAGAGAAGATTAAAAAAAATTGTCAATGACATTTATTAGAACCAAGATGAAGAATTATGCAATTTCTTGCTATAAAAAAAAAAGATGCTTAATGAAGATTACATCCTATATTTTATCCTTTATTATAATTTTTTTGTACTTTAATAATGCCAGTAAGATAAAAACAAAAAATCTATAATAAATAGATTTAATTCAAGAACTATCATTTGCTGACTTACCAAATGAGATATTACAATTGTTACAACCTTCAAAATGATGTAATTGAGATAAATACCTTCAAGAATAAGATGTTGTTTCTTGAATAGATGGCAAGATACAATGCATTTGGTATCACAACCTTAGAAGAGACTTTTAATGTTTGATGATTTTATTAGAAGTAGAAACGACACTTGATGGTGTAATCAATGTTTTATTTCAAAGAAGTTATGAAGGCCTCAAAAATGATTAAATAATAAGGTTAGTTTTTCACCATAGAATGGGACATTATTGGTGGTTGAGAAGATCTATTAACTACCTTCAAAGGGAACAACAATCAAAATATGTGGCAAATATAATTTGTTGTATTATAGACTTCATCAATATGTGATCATCGCTTTTTGTAAAACTTGTCCCTAGAAAAAGAAGTAATATCATGGACACATTTATTTTAATATTTATTTAGATAATATGAATAAATAGAAATAAATAGAAATAAATTAATTTGATAATAACTTATGGAAAAGCTTTCTAGAAGCTTTATAGATGCATTTTCATCTTTATACATATTTAAAGGTGATTAGTAGGTTAAAAATTTAACCAACAAGTTAGCCACGTGTCGCATATGTCAATAGGTTGTAAAATAAGCTAATTATGTGGTACATATAGGAAACTTATGTTATAAGTTAGATAAGTATCTTACAAATTGGGTACTTATTGGAAGTCATATAGAATGTCGCTACATAGCTTTTAGGTAGATACTATATATAGAGGCAAGAATAAAGCCTTCTTCACTTTTATCAACTCTTTTTTTGCTTCAAATCCAATTTCAAGAGTCTCTAGCTTTGTAGTCTTTTGCAATAGTCATTCTAGTTTCTTATTAAATATATTTACTTTCTTATTTTTACTTTGTTATCTCTCTTTGATTTATTTCTCAATTATTCATATAACTTTTTTGAGTTCTTTTCCTTAATACCTTCTGAAAGGTTAAAGAAGTTATGGCAGACAAGGTAAAATTTTGATTCATTTGAGTTTTATGTATTCTTTTACATAGCATAAGATTGTCTTAAATTCCAAATTTAGTGCATGGAAGTGCCAATTTCCTAGTTACAATATTCTAAAATTTTTGACATAGAAACAACTCTGCTTTTGATTATTGTAACTGACTATTTTAAAAGAGTGCAATCAAATCTCAATAGCCACCTTAAATCTTTCTTTGTTTCTTTTTTTAAGAAAAAAATGCTTAAAAATAATTATGAATATTTAAACTTATATATTAGAATATAATTTCTTTTTTATAATGTGGTATAGTTAAACTTAGAAGATTATATTTTAACACGTTATTTATAAGTTTTAATGTAACAAAGACAAAGTTTTATTGACATTGTAAGGCTAAGGGAAGTATATCATTATTTCAATTTTGTACAAATTTTTCACTACTAAGCCTTTGCAATGATGAAGATCATGTTAAATGATCTTTGGGTCCTCACCCAAAATATGGACAATTTTCATCTATTTTGAAGGTTGTAAATTAGTCTTAATCTTATATAAGCTTATGGGGTTAAAATAGCTGAGTAGATAATCTTAGTTCAAATTTAAGAAATGTGTAGATTCCACTACTACTACATTGATTGAATCTTTATTATTTTTTTGAAAAATAATTTTTTTGAGTGAGTTGAATGTAGAGAAAACTCTAAGATTGTTTATAAAATGAATACTCCTAAAAGAGTCTTTTCACAATGCATTCCCATTCAAATAATAGTAAGTAGAAAGGAATTATTCTCAACATCATGTAGATATTCACATCTTCATCCTTCACCTCATACTCAAAATACTTGCCTTCCTTTACGTGATGATCTCCACATGAAATGTATGTATATAGAGATATGAACGGACAAAGGATCAATCATCCACACCCAACAAGTCGAGAAGTGAAAAATTACTTTTTAGCTTTTAGGGATCGACGTGGTCGTCATCGTCGCGACGAGACAAGGAGAGAGAGAGCGAGATGGCGATGGCGATCGAGGTGGTTTTGGCCAGACGCGGGGGCGTGGGGAACGCATGCAACCAAGAGGAGGGGCAGGGAGCAAGCTATCGAACGAGCTACTCCGATTGCCAGAGAGAGAGGCCAACGGCAATGCGCAGGAGTAGACTGAACCTTGACGACGCCAAACCACGAGGAGATCGGCGAGATCGGGTCCAAGCTCAAGTGGAGGCTGCACAGCATCGTTTTAGTGCCTGCTCCTTTGATGGCCCCTGCCCACTTCCCCTTTAATGTCCTTCGGTACAGTTGGGGCGTAGCACTAGTGGCCAAGCCAAGGGCCGGAGCTCTTTTCGATGCCCTGGTAGGTGACCGTCTTGGCTGCTGCGCCGGCTCTAAAAGCCGTCTCCCCCCCCCCCCCTCCCACTTTTCCTTTTAGTGTCATTTGTTGTACCGTTCCCTAGGTTGTCGAATTTTGCAACATACAGTGTTTCTTTGATACACAGTCCTTTCATCCTTCCTCAACCCTATCACACTCAGAATAGTTGCTGCAGCGGAGCGGTGTTGAGCAGAGAGTGTTCCGGTGGTCACGTCGCCCGTTGTTTTCCGTATCACCGATTCGTCCACGCAGGTGTTGTGCGCCTGACCTGCCTTGACTTCAGTAATTCATCGCCTAAAAGAAGATCTCGAAAAATGAAATTTCACCCGAAAGGCATTGCTAGAATAATTGCTCGCAAACCGTCCGTTCTATTTATACTACAAGGGAAAGGGGAAGATAAAAAAAATTAAATAAGCAGGAGGAAAAGAAAAAATAGGATTTTAGAAGAGGAAAATTGAAAAGGAAAAAGGTTAAAGAGAAATCAATAAAACTGCGGTTAAGGCTGCAACAGGCTATTTTCTGTTTATTTTTCGGTTGCTTGGCTTATTATAGGACGTAGTGTTTCCCCAAAATATCCAAGAGGAAAAATTCGAGAAGTTTTATTACATGCGAATACAACAAGAATAACAGAAAAATTGTGTACCAATATTGGCCGCCTTCAATGGCCAGTCTGCAGTCACAGTCGACAGTTCAGTTGAAGCAATCGGGCATCAACGCTGATTGATGAGCTTGCGACGGGCCACAACAAAAAAGACTATACGAAATTTTTCTATAACTTACAAATGGTGATTTGAGAGCAGTTGGTGTGCAGTGTGTACGAGTAGCAGAAGCTAGCTTATAGCCCGCCGCCGCTCGGGCCTTGAATGTGAAGCAGAAACGGCAACTGATTGACGCCAACTCCGATGAATCGAGTGTACCCAAAAGTTTACTGCCACCCAAATTCTGTTAAGATTGACTGCAACGCCCCCTCTCCCCCGTAATTAGTTACCCCCCGACGTCGAAATCCTCCATGCAGTTTATCTAATCTGTCAGAACCTCCATATCCGCGCCACCGCCAAACTCGGTCCTCGTATTTACATACCCTGCCATCCCCGTCTCCCGTCTATCTAAAGTACCTTACGGCGTGTCAGAGCCATACCAGAATGGCACGGCGAAAGATTGCCCCTCGCCTTTCCGGAATAAATGGCGCAACAGACTAAGATTGGAGAATGCTGGGAGTAGGCCACTTCGACTCGAATGCCGCGCTCTTACAATGGCGGGTCGATTCGCTCTGATCAATACTGCGTTCCGCACTGCAGAGACCAGAATTTGTCGATTTGGGGGCTAGTGGAAGTCCATGGAGCCATCGAGACTGGTGACAGGGTGTTGGGACTGTGTACTTTGGGTGCTGGTTTCCCTTCGTAAGATGGGGTATATGTGGAGGCCTAACGAGCACGTCCAGAAATGCTGTGATGGGCGGATCTTGCAGGTGACGTCGACGTGCCGCGTCGCTCTCCGACTTCATCGTTCCATGAAGACGGAAGGGGATTCCTCTCTCAACTGGTCTTGGGATAGGGCTAAGATTCCGGTGTAGAGAATCGCGAGAGGTGTTCGGGACTGGGTTTGCGGGGTGTGTCGGCGAGCTGGTCACATTCATCGAGGATCTGCTGTGGTCAGGCAGTAGAGTGAGCGGTGGTGGAGGTATTAGAATTAGAGTTGCGATCGGGTTGGGATCTCAGGACAATGCATGGTTGGAGCTCAGTGTATGGTTTGTGCTATCGCAGGCGAGCACCTCTTCCACATTCTAGTCTTGACTAGCACGTTCTCAAAGGATATCCTAGTGATGTTCACTGAAAAAGAACAACGAAAATTTTCGAAATTCGATTGTCTCGGGAAATTTAATGTGGCTCAACGGATGTCAGGGGGTTTCGGTGATTTTTGACAGAAACTGAAGCAGAAGTCATGAAAACGGCACTCGATTTGCTCCTACACGGTCGAGTACCCTCGAAATCTGTAGTTGCGTCAGTTCATCCTGCGGGTGATCTCTACAGCAGACCTGCAGGACTAGGGAAGTCTGCGGGGTATGTGAGATTTTGACCCTTGCTTTCACTCACACGAACTCAATGCCGTTAGCAACAGTGGCGCAGATGATTTGGGAGTCTTTCTGAGTATTCCCTGCTTATACAGGGAAGGGATCCGAACATGCACTGTACTGAATTACCTCCCTAGACCTTCTGATTCGAAAGAGGTTGATTGGGTCGTAGAGTTTGAACTTGTACGTGAATGTTCAGATCTTAGTGCGAGTGGAATTGTTTCCTGATTGTAGGCTTTCGGTTGTACGCACCTACGAGATGATTCTTCAACCGTGGGCTTGTGTTGGATTTGTTAGGCTTTCTTCCAAAGAGCAAGTACTGGAGGATAAAAAAAATGCTCTTACTCCGGCGGAACAGTGCCTTGTTCGGGAATACATGAATGGTGCACGATCTTCCGAAGAAGAAATTGGCGACGCGGCGCTGCGCAAGCTTGTCCATAGTCCCACCTTCATGAGATTCGTCCATCGACTCGAACTCGAAAATGAGGTAAGCGCCTCTCATTCCACCTTTAATCTACTATCCATCCACTTTCTTGGAGGTATCCTGGACCAATGTGATTTTTCTGATGATCACTGCAAGTGCGCATGTATGATTCAGTTTTGCTCTTGCAACACAGGTGGTCGAGTTGCACAAGCAGCTAGACAAAGAAGTTGAGCTTCACAGTGCCCTGGAGAGAGCACTTTCGAATTTGTCCAGCACCCAATTGCCCAATCCTGACTTGCACCACCTTCCCAGCAATGTAAGTTCCTCGACCTCCCTCTTAGTGTGGATGTGATTGCAAGTTCGGGACTACTCGCCCACTGCCCACCAGCGGTGTGATCAGATCCCTTAAGCTCGAGCCAAAGGAAGGTCCACGGACAAGCTATTGCTCATGATGATGTTCCTTTTCATTGTGTAGGTCCAGCAGTTGCTCACGGACATCGCAATGCTGGAGGTCGCAGTTCTGAGACTTGAAATGCAGGCGTCCGCACTTCAATCGGATCTGGCGCACGAGAGGACTGAGCGCGCAGTGGTGCACCAGACATTGAATTCCCCTTCCGACGTGCCTTCGCCAGTCGAAGATGCCAAATCACTACCTGCCTTATCGCTTGCACATCAACGATCCAGTTATGATTCCCCCCAATGTCCGGTCCCTTCGAAAGTGCCATCACGGTTTGTCACATGCAGTTCCCGATGCTCAAATTCTCCTGCACGTGCTACCCTGAAAGATCTCTTGCGTAAACCCTCTCAAGAATCCAGCCAGCAATTTCGCACTCCTCCTAAATCCCCGCGACAAGCTCTTCGGTTGTTGTGGAGCCCCCTCGACGGGCAGTCACAAATGTCCTTCTTACCCTTCTCGAAAAAGGTAGGCACGTCCGAACGTTCACGTTGGGCCTATGCTATGCAATCATGAATCTTCACCTCGCTGCATTCGTGATGAGTAAAAACATTTCTGATGGTTCTTTCACACAGGATCGATCACAGACAGCTAGTCCTTCCACAGCCGAGAAGAACCCGCGTACATCTCAAGACGAGGGTGCCAGTGCCCCGTCGTCTGAGTCTGCGTCATCCAATCCAACTTCTTCTGCATCGTTGTCTCCGTTCACACCAGGGGAAGAGCCGCAGAACACCACACCCGTCACTCCCACTGGCCAGCCAGATCACCCAGTTGTACGAAAGTCATTGAATCCTGTGAAGTTGTTCCCCTCCGCCAAGCGCCTCGCCTTCTGGAACTTCTCGTCCTTCTCCGAGGAACGATCTGTCAAGCCGGCGTTTGACACAGAGGCTGCTTCTGTTTCTCTGCCTCGCGACTGTCCCTCCAGAATTGACGAGGTAAGTCTAGCTCGTCGGGAAGCCTTACACTACTTCTGCGTGCACAGATTTCGTAGGAATCTGCTCCTCATGGAGTTCCTATTCCAACCGATTCGTGCCGATGTCCCCTGTCAGCATAACCGATCCGCTGCGTACCTGAACTACTGAGTGCTGAATACAGGTTCTCACCGACGACGTAAGAATCAGAAAACTACGGCGAATCTGGAGAATGAGGCTACCTGAACAATCGCAATCTCCTCGATCTCCTCTAGACAACGCGCCTACTGCAGCGTCCCCTCCCAGCATCTCGAACCAAAGCGATGCTTCGTTGGTGAGTGTCTTCACTCAAATAGCTTATGGCTAGCTATGAAGATTTATATCGGTGTTTACACCAGAGGGTGCATGGCTGATGGGGTGTGTGTGCTTCTCAAGCAGGAATCACCGCGGAGTTCCTGCAAGGAGTCTCCTCGTCAAAGCAAAGCAGAGAAACTAGAGATCATATCGTACGCAAACAGGCTGTCGGAGGAGATGGTGCGCTGCATGGCTAACATCTACTGCCACTTAGCAGGGCCCAGTTCCCAATCTCATGGATCCCAAGATTGGCCTGCCTCGTCCTGTCGCACCGACCGTCTCTCCCCCTCTTCATCCAACTCTTCCCAGTCCGATTCCTTCGTTCCATCAGGAGCCCGAAGTCCAAGCTTGGACACTGGACTTTTTGCGGAATTGATCGGATGCGACAGCACTCCGGATCCATACAAAGTCTCGGGGAAGCTTCCCTGGGCTGACATTGGGCCATACGCCAATGCTTACGAGGTGTTATGGCTGACCGTAGGGATGGACCAGCTTGAATGCGTCGCGCAGAGTCTTGGAAGATTCAGGTGAGTTCCTCGTCTTCTCAGAGAGCATCTGTAAGCCATCGCGATCGGAGGCTTTGCCCAACCCTAAATGAACCTATGCCCACTAAAAATTGGATTGTCGTGCAGAATACTGGTGGAACAATTATCTCAAGTCAACCCCTCGGCAATGACACACGAGCAGAAACTCGCGTTCTGGATCAATCTTTACAATGCCCTACTCATGCATGTAAGTTAACTAGCACTGCATCCACCCGGTTGCCTCTAGTTCGTTCCTGCGGTAGAGTTATTTTTCCCACGCAGTGTTGTCACACACTGACCGCAATTGTCTAATACGAGTCGTGTTCAAAATATGAGCAGGCTTTTCTCGCATACGGAATTCCCAGAAGCGATCTTAAGTTCTTCACCCTCATGCAGAAAGCAGCATACTGCGTCGGAGGCCATTGGTTCAATGCTGCCGCCATTGAGTGCCATCTTCTCAAGGCCAGGATTATGCTCCACCGACCGCAGTTTGTGAGTCCAAGTTTCCTTTGCTGTTAGTCCAACATAGTCGTACGGTATTCGAAGCAGTAATACTAATAGAGTGGGTGACTTCAAGCCAATCCTCAGAATGTATCCCTAACCCTGCGTTTTTGTGCGTCCAAATTGTCGCAGGCATTGATCATGGCACTTCACAGCAAAAAGCTAACCGAGGAACAAAGTGAGTATGGGATCGGCAAGCCTGATCCGAAAGTAAACTTCGCGCTGTCTTGCGGTGGCCACTCTTCCCCGATGGTGCGAATATATACAGCAGAGCACGTTCATGACCAGCTCGATTGCGCATTGCGAGACTACGCGCGTGCGACGGTGGGTCTGACATCTAAAGGCCGAGTCCTGCTACCCAAGCTCCTGTACAATTACGCTCGTGAGTTCGTCGAAGACGATGTGGTGCCCCAGTGGGTGACCCAGTTTCTTCCCGCGCCGCAGGCCGCGGCTGTATATGAGTGCACCCAACAACGCTATCGACGCCGAATCTTCAACAATCCTGCGACTTTTTCAGTTTCCCCTTTCAGCTTCGCATTTCGGTACCTGTTCCCGGAATCCTTCAGCTGCCCCGATGGCTGATTCTAATCTTTCATCTTCGACACATCCACCACTTCTTCACATTCCTTCGCCGATGTGCAGCAGCAACCATGAGATAGTTTATACATTGATTGTCCACGCCATTCATTGAAAGATGTGGACATTTTGCTACAAATCCCATCTCTTATAGAAAAGCAGTAAACTCACTATTGGCAAAACCAGCTCAGTTTGTACAGTCGACACAAATCAATTACAACACCACACAAGCAACATTTTCCTTTAAACAAGTCTCCGTCCCTTTGCTATTGTGCAGAACTGTTCGTTTGTCACATTTCTCACTTCATCCTCGACTATCAATGACACATTTCATTTCGATAGAGTGGACAGTCTTTCAACCACCGCTTCATCTATCTCATACTTTGCTTCCAGGTAAAAATCAACGAGAATGAAGCTCTACAGAGTGATGCGTATACAATTTCAAGAAACAGTTACAACGACGTTAAAATAAACTATTTTGAAGTCTCTCCATGCAACGAGAGAAAGATAATGCCCTACTGAAATCTGTACGATTTTGTGCGTGATGTAGCTGGTCCATGTATTGTTAGTTGCTTTTATCGATGTTGGCACTATTTAGGAAAACTTGTTTGCCAATCGTTTGGTAGGAAGAGTTTTGTTTGTGAATAGTTTGGAAAAATAGATCGTTTCTTTGTTGATCTGATGAAGAGAACTGACATACATACCCAGACGACCATTGACGTCAACACTTCTACATATTAAATTGAAAATTTGATCTCAAATTAATGCAACATCTCGAATAATTCTGAAATTACACCATTAGTTATTGTGATCAAAGTAAGATATTGTAATCTTAAGTGTCTCAGCATAGCTACAAAGGTTCTCTGACTTCATTACTAAGCACAATTTTTTTATTCCAACCAACATGCACCAATCAATTTAAAATTGTTAAGGTAGATAATTATATGCTGATCTTATTACTTTCTCAAACTTAAAACGAGTACCTACTTAGAAGATTGTAAGGGTTACCCTTGTGAAGATCAATTTTCTAAGTATGATCTTAATACTCACTGTTAGTTGTAGGTTGTTGAAATAAGTAAATTATATATTAAAAATAAACTTCATTGTCTATTGATATTAAACTATATTATGAAAAAATTGAGATATCAAATTGAGATGTCTTTTGTATATGTCAAATGTCATCATTATTTTTTCTAATAATGAGAGTTAACATATATTCTTCTAATATCTAAACCTGATACATCAACACAACAAAGGCTAACAAACTGAGATGGTTTCGCCAGTGAACTTTGATGTGAAATTTTTTACTGGTCTTTAAATCTTTCATTAGTGACCACTAAAAAATTTCACATCAAAGTTTTTATAATTTTAAAAATACATTAGTTACTTTTTTTAAAATTAAAATTATTGTATTTTTTAATGTAGAATGCTTAAATTTTAAAAAATTTAAGAATGTGATTTACTAAATCATTATTTTAGAGTTATAATATCATGTAAAAAGTATTTAAATTGTGTATTTATTGCACTATCTAAACATGAAATACAATTTTTTAAAAAAATACAGGATAGAGATCTATATGAAGAAGTGTGCTATTTTATTATATAAATTGGCATTAATATACTATGTATACATTACTTATAGCTCAAACTTCATATAAGCAAATACTTTAAATAAGCAAGATGTCTCTTGAAGTAGCACCAATCTTAGGGTTATTACAAGAATAAAGAAGAAAAAATAAACATGTAGCAATAGTTTCAACATTATAACTAATTTTGCAATACAAGACCAAATCAAAGAAGGATCATTACTCAATAGCTATTTTTTTAATTCTTCTAATATTATTGCTACTTTATCCACATACTCTGTCTTTCTAAAGTTACAAAAATGTTGTCTTGTTCTTCTTACACAACAATAATATAATATAATATAAAATAATGGTAGTGTCACAAAATATATCCACAATGTTAGAAGTTATGCAAAACTTTGTTAGAGGTCATTGGTTGTGCAACTCTAAATAAAGCAGCATCTACATGAATGAGAGACTTGCTACCATGTTACTATTTATTAATTAATATATTATACTTATATCTTTAATCCTATTACATTTTTAAAATAAATACTATTAAAAATAAGTTAATATATGATATTTTTTAATTTTATCAAGGTAAACATAAAACTAATATTAAAGTTGAATTAATTATAATAAAATCAATAATTTGAACATATAATTACCAAATAAAGGAAGATAAATTCGAGTCTTCTTTTATTTATATAGTATTTCTTTTAATTTTTAAAAATATTCTTCTACTGCAGAAAGCTCAATTACTTAATAAGAGATTAATCACCTAATAAAAGAGATCCACAACTTCTTGTTAAAAAAAGGTTAACTAACTAAAATTAATAATTTGTTTACTTAGTCAAATATTATTTTTAATACTAACAAAGTAAAGAACATTAAAAAAAAATTCACATAATATCTTGATTTTGAAACAACAGAATATATGTGTCAAGAAAAAATAGCTTTATTTTTACATATACTAAAAGTGTTACAACAAAAAAAATATGCCTTTGTAAAGTCTTCACTTCTGATTTTATTGAAAAAAGTTGAGGTGTTAAAATTGAAAGTATGAACTTTAATTCTATAAATATTTATTTTATTATTTTATTACTTTAAGGTTGTACACCAATTTTGACTACCAAAGTCAACAATCAATAATGACTACTAATAGAAATTAAATTATGAAATACTAAATCAAGCACAACCAAACCAACTTCATTACAAATCCAATATTGCAATATCAAGCAACAAAGCACCACAACAAATTCCAAAAAAATGTGCAGAGTGACACCAAAATGAAACATAGAACCACATTGTATTAAACTAATATTGTAAAATTAAAGCACCTCAAATCAAATTGCTACATAAGCATATTAATATTACCATAAATAAACTCAAACACGCACTAATATTAAATACAAGAGAAAACCATGCAACAAACTGCACATTGATACCTTGCAACCACCAATTGATAATAGTAAAGCATAATTAGTTGACTAGAGAAATACAATTGAATGAAAATCTTGAACCACAGGTATATTAGAAGGGAGGGAAGTAAATGCCTTGTTAAAGAGTTTTATAATTTGTGGAGATTAAATGTTTATATTGCACACAATGGAACATTCAATGCAATACTAGAAAGAAGCCATTTTTCCATTTTAACATTGTGTTTTTTGTGGGTTTATAGAAGAAAACAAATTGACATTAGGCTTAGGGTCAAGGTGTACAATAAGATGGCAACTGATACAAATTGTATAAAACCAGGTATATTTCTAAGAAAGACGGTCAGCTCTAAAGAGGCCTAATGCGAGATAAGCATGTAGTGATCAACATGAAAGATGCAAATGTTCATGCTAAAGCTACAAGGAATCCGTCAAATTTAGAAGAATCAGGGATCATTAAAATTCTAACTGGGATACGGTTGTAAGACTAACCACAACATTTGTTTATACTATTGAAACAATTTTAGTCAAAAGGCTTGATAACAATGAACATTGAGAGCCAATATTTTGCCTACCTTGCAAGGAGGTGGAAATTTTTGTGGCTGATCCGATTGATGAAAAATTAATAAATTGATTGATTAATTGCCTTGTCATGGGATGATTAAGTATAATATTCTTGGCAAAACCAGGGCTGGTCCATAAAGCTAGGCAGCTCGTACAGAGAATTCCACATCATCAAAGCAAAAACTGCACAATTTTTCAACCAAACGACTCTGAAAGTGTAACTGTAAGGGATGGTTCTGAGGTAAACCAAGGCACAATCCAGCTTGAAGAGCAAAACCAGGATGGTTGTCATGGTCATGTACAATCAAGGATGACAAGAAGTTGTGCTTAATTCAGAAAAAACTAAACATCCTATAACAAGAAATTGATTGAATTGAGAGTTACATAGGAGCCAGCACAATAATTATAACCCAGTAGAAACAAACCCAGTAAGTTGCATGCCTCTACCCCAGTAAAAACAAGGACTCTGCTCAGTCTACGCAACTCCTAAAGGAACTGAAGACCTAAATTCTATAAAAGCTTGACTCAAACCAAAAGACCTGAATTCTATAAAATTCTGTAAAATATTTTGGTTTGAGTATTATTTTCTTTTGGTTTCTTTACAACAATGGAAATAATACTCAAACCAAAAGAAAATAGCAACAAAACTACTCTCCCCAAACACAAGATGACAACAACGAAACTGCAGTGCATGCAAAGCTTGAAAATGGATTATTTTGAGACAAACGGAGTGCACGCTTCATGAAGAAAACGGAAGATATGAATCCCTGAAGCCGCTGAAGCTCTCAGGCTGCTGAGGTCTTGAGAGATACCAGAGAAAAAAAGGACCCGCCATTGATTTGGTTCTGTGGAGACGCAGGTTACATATATAACCTATTCAATAAACAGCAGAACCTGGACGCTGTGAGGAACATAAACACTAAAAAGTAATATCATCTAGATGCAGGATTACAACGATGATCTTTGAGTCACTACGAGGTTTGTGCATTGCACAAGCAAATCCACGCCCAATACTGACCCCACCCAATGCATCGTAACTATTTACTTCCGGCAGTATGAGCCTGCCACCAATTTCAAAGAAAGCAGCGGAGCTTTGAGAGTTTTGTGCGAAAATTGATTGCCAGCATCACAAACTAGTTCATGTCTGACATAAATATATTTTTTTCGATCCGTCTGACATTGTTCACTGGAGACCTTATGTGGTCGTTGCCGACACAAGCAAGCATGGGAGCGCAATAATTGTGGGTCCTCTTCTTGGTCGTTGGTACTCTGAACAAACAAACAAACACCATGTAAGTAAATCAAAACTATCAAAAGAATTCATTCAGATAATGGATCTGCTTCGTTGTGAAGACCTAAGATGAACAACCTAGTTTCAAAATGTGAGGGTTGAACTGCTGGAGTATATTTTAATTCGTTATAAAATCAAACAAAATAGCACACACGTCTCGATTCCTGCTTCTGTTTTTAGCATGCAGTGACGCAACCTATGCCATAGCAAGAGGGTTGAGTAATCTATCTTGATACAATTACGGTAAATGCCTCAATCACGCACACCGATCTTTAACAAACCTTACCTCGACGTGCTGTTTAACATAAAATATGCCGCACAGTTTTTTAGAATCACAAGAATAAGAAGAAACTTGCGATTCATCATACACACCTGTGGATGCGTAGATGATCCCTCAATAACGCTCGACGAGCATCTCCTCAGCATCGACCTTGTCTTTGTAATATTCCACCTCCGCCTGCATGACCAACTCGACTGAATAAGATTGTTTCACAGAAACACACGCTTGGAAATTACAGAGGGAGGGATTGAAAGACACGCACCTTGCGGATTGCAATGACGGCCTTCACCAACGGCTCTCCGAGAACTTCGCGCAAAACAGAGTCGCCTTCAAGGGCTTCCACTGCTTGAACTAAAGAACTGGGCAGGGCTTCGATTTTGCCATCCTCCAACTCTGCCGGATTTACCTCTGCAACCATCATCATGGGATCGGGTTAGCCAATTATAGGTCTAATGTTACAAACAACTACAACTACGAGACCCAACTCGAAAAGGACTCACCAGTTGGCTCTGGGAGCTGATGGTGCTTGCGGAGGCCGTCCATTCCAGCGGCGATAATTGCGGCTAATCCCAAATGTGGGTTAGCGCATCCATCAAAGCTCTTCAACTCAAAATTGCTAACCATATCAGCATCACACCCGGGTGGACTAGCCGTACGCAAGGGCGCCTCTCGGTTGTCACGTCCCCAGCACTTGAAGGCACCGCTCCATGTGTTGGGCTGAATACGGGAGTAACTGTAAATCACACAAAACAACACGATTCAACACCAGACTCGAGTACCGTTGCCATGTAGCTGACAAGGATTCAAGCAACAAACGAAAGGAGTATCTGACCTGTTTGGAATTGTACAAGTCATAGCAAAGATCGCTGAAAGGTGGTCCAAGACTCCAGCCATGAACTCTTGCCCCTGCTTCGACATGCCGTGCTTTGAACCCGAGCCTTTGCCCATGAGCACGTTTTGATCGCCTTGCCATATACTGAGATGCACATGTGACCCGACTCCTGCTCCTTTGGGGAAATATCTGCACAGAGACAAGCTTCAGTAAAACTGCTCGAAATGCCGCACCAAGGAAACTGAAGAGAAAGACGCCGGAAGGGAATTGATACTCACTTAGGCAAGAAGCTAGCACGGAGACCGTTCTTATCAGCGATGGCGCTAACAGTCTCCCGGAGCAAGAGAAGCTTGTCAGCAGCCTCGAGACATGGGAAATGACCCACAGCTAGCTCGAATTGGCCGCCTCCAGACTCACAATGCATTTGCTCAATCTGAATACCCAGGGCTGATAGCGTGCTTGTGATTTCGGAAAGGATGGGCGACGCAGCATTGAAGCCTGCGGATGAGCAGTATGGAGTTGCATCCACTCCCTGCCATTTCTTCTCTCTGTGAAGGGCATCAGGAACAACAACAATATCAGACTGAAAGTCGTCTTTCTCACTCTCGCAATCCCACACAAGAACCAGAAGCCAGAGAAAGTCAGCTCACACCAAAAACAAACTCATATGGGTGTAAAGAGCGTACCCCTCGGCCCGTTTCAGAAGGTAGAACTCGCTCTCGAAACCAGCTCGCAGCGTCTGTAATACCAATCACTTACAGCAATCAAAACCCATTTCACGTGACTTCGAGAAACACCCAAAACGAAACGTAGGATGTTAAAATATCATCACGCAACTCACCAGACCGAATTCTTTCTCTAAGGTTTGTGTCACGCTGCGGAGAGTGCTGCGAGGACAATACTGCCACGCCACACCAGGCTTGCTGTGCATGTCCACCAGCGCAATCTCGTGCTCTGGAAACCTGGCAGAAGCAGCACAAACCTTTCTCAGGAATCAAATCTCGCAAATATGCAACGGTCACAAGCAGATAGGGTAGAGATGACACAATACTTTTGCAGTGCCTCATTTACCAGAAGCTGTGATAAAAATAAAAAACAAATCCAACAGATTATAAGCTAGCTTGGAGTTTTTCCCCGTATCTGGTGGAGGAGCCTCTTCAATTACAAAAGCTACGAGGAGAATCGATCGATAACAAAGGCGAAAGGAGCAGAACCATACCAAGGCAATCTGCGCCTTGTCGAGATGTCGGGCATCAAACGGATCTCGCCGATGGCTGACAATCCACTATTCGGCGCAGGCGTATCGCTAAACGATGTCATCGCCATGCACGCTTGGGTGATGCCCAGACCATGGTCCATCACCACTCCCTCATACCTTTTCACAGGAACCACTCTACAACGTCGTTGACCCGAACCATCTGAGAACAGCAACCGCACGTGCTTCACCGCAACGCCCTCATGAACATCCTTCTCTTCCACAGCCACTGGGTCGATCACCTTCTCGTCCAGAACGTCCACTTTGAGAGCTCTGGGACTCGCAAGAAGGGATTGCGAATCCTTCATAGACTTCCCTTGGGGAAGCGTGCGGAGAGATGGCGGTAACCTCGGTGCAAATGGAGTGCGTTCCATTGACACCAAGCTTGCACTTCCTAAACCTTGCAGCGTGGCTTGCTGGTTCAACTTACTCAAGCTGTCGGTCGAGGCTGAGAATCCACCCTTGCCCTCCAACTTGTAAAAGTCCAACGCATTGCGTCCCAGAATTCCATCTGCGGCAGCAAGGGCTTCGTTGATTGGCATGTCTCCGTTGTCATAAGCCTCAATCAGGACGCGAGCCAAAATCTCTCGCGACCACTTGGCACCTAGGAAGAAAGTCTCCGGGAAAGCGTACCCATCCGTGCTGAACATAATCTGAAGTCGACGAAGCCAAACAAGCATGATGAACAAATCTGATGCAACGACAGGGAAAATGATGCAAAGAGATAAAAGAAGGAGAGAAAAAACGGATTTGTAAGACACAGATCCATCGTGTACACAGATTACCTTATTAACAGGAGCCAAGTCCATGAGGTCGCTAACAGCGCACCTCATTCCACGAACGCTCAACTTCGGCACCACCAGCCCGAAGTCCAAATGCACCTGAGGGTAAACGCTGGCGAGATATGAAGCTTCTCGCATGAACGGATAGGAGCCATGCAAAAGCACAACGCGAGCATTGGCGTAGTGCGGGCACTCCAGCACAGCACGTAAGTGCAACGGATTGGCAAGCTCTAGCTGCAAGTCCTTGTCACCAAACCTGGGATTCAAAACATGAGCAACATGCTCAGTTCACACACGAGATAAGTAAATTTAAAACAGCAAGACGTTCCTCCACTACCCAAAACCATATCGTTCAATTCAAATGCGGCATTACTTAGTTTCGCTGAGAAGACAGACAGCCAATGCAAAAGCGGGTCACGCACCCCGTATGAATCTGTAGCGGCACGTCTCGAGTAGTGGCTACCTCGAGGGCTCGTGTAAAGATGAAGTCGATCAAAGCCTTGTTTGAAACCCGGACGGGGCTTCCAGCACCTGTTACCAGTTCAACCGTGTCCAAAGCACAAATTCCTCCATTAGCTAAAACTCTGTGATCGAGAAGTTACTACAAAAATCATTCTTTGCACAGCAGGGCGGACGACACCATAGGTCGAAAATGAAGCAGCGTTCTAACCGCCGACCCCGATCACTTACGTAAGTTATCAAAGAGTCCATTCTCGGATTCCTGAGCTGACACGTAAGGATTGATGCGCAGCCCACTGCGGTATGCGGCAATACTCTTGAAGGCGACCACCTTAGAAGAGAGTGTGAGGACATCATTAAAGTTAAGGTATTTTCACATGTGGTTGAATTAGGGTAGCAGAGTAAGAATGAAGGTTAGTGAGGTATGAAATAACCCCAATACGGAAGATACTACAACTTGTATTATCTTGTTAACGGTACGAAGCATACTTAAGGATATGATTCTAAAGTCGAGCTGAATCGGTGCTCGAAGCTCTCCAAGGTCCATCTCACATTACCCTGAATGCCCTGCTCGCAACCACAGTCCACACAAAAGACTGTCAGACTACACGGCAATCAAGGGAGAACCATGTTGAGGAAAGACTTTGTGGAGGAAAGCATTTAAGCTGTGGCACGAAAGATAGGAGAAAGTGGAAAGGGAGATTGCCTGGTTGAGGATGGCCTCAGCAACGGTCTCAATTCGAAGAACGCGGTGGACACCAGGAATGTACTTGCGATGCCAACCCAGGCTAACCATTTTGTCCATTGTGAGGCCATCGTCCAGAAGCACAAACTCAATGTTGGCAGCGTCGAAGCATTTTTCACTGATTGCTGCTAGTCCTTCGGTTTTCCGGTAATGCTCGATGGCCACTAGGGTAGGCTCACAACTGTAAAGCTCCGCAAGGTCTTTCAAGCTCCTCTGCAAATACAGACAAAGGGAACTCAATGCGCTATCGAATCAACCGACGTGCACATCGTATTGACAATGCTTCTGAGAGATACCAGAAGCCATGCCCAATCTTACAAAGGGGAAATACTCTCCACCAAATAGCCACTCCCGGAGATTCAACAACTACAGATCGGAAGACGTAATGTCGATAATCCACCATTTTCTTATAATTCTTGCAATGAACAATCCGATTTCTCGGGGCTGTAGCTCGCTGCATGAGACTGTGTCAGGGATCAGATCCTAGTGTGAGGCAGGCGTTGTGAACAGAATCCAACACAAAGATGTAGAATTTATCCCGCATCCGTAGTATCTAATTGAAATTAGATTCATTACCATGAGAGTGTAAAAATAGCTCTTAGAATCTGAACATGGGAGGAAGCGATGAGCCCTGCGATGATCGCAACACAGGAAGGTATTGAACAGAAAAGGTTCTTCGCAGCTTTCAAGGCGCCTAACGTAAACAAAAATTGAGGCCTTGAGAGGACACGACCGGGGCGCCGGTGGAGGTAGCGAACCTGGAAAGAGAGGCTGTGCGGCACCGAGGAGAGAGCTTCGTGGCCGCGGGCTTCAGAGAAACACTGCAGGAAGGGTAGAGTGGAATCCATTGCCACGACATTGTGTGCATGCGCATCAATGAGAGGCACCTGTGCACAAACTGCTCTGATGCGCTCGTGATCTTTCTCTCTCTCGGTAGCCATTTTCTTCACTCTCTACCTCTACACTTCCCACTTGCTAGCTGCAACCTTCACATAAAAGCAGCTCCTCAACGGCAATGTCTCACCACTACCACCCCGATCCCACTCTCGGCACACCCCTAGACGTCGATCGACACCCCCACACAAACCCCACAAGGCTTTGGTTCAGTGCCTCTTGCCACTCTCTCCCTCTCTCACTCTCACAATGACACAACCCCAACCCAGTTCTAAGGGGGCTGCACTTTCCTGTTACCTGTCCTTTCCTTCGCTTCCCTTCACTACCACAACCGAGGGCGATGACAACAACAGCGAACCAATCAGGCAGGACTGGAGTAGAACCCACCTACACCTCGACGCCCAGATTACTTGTGAGCCCTTCCCTAGTGGAGATGAACACCAACCGAGTAAAGGGTAGAAGTAGTCGTAGTACTAGACAAGCGAGACCCGGAGAGACAGTAGTAGTACTATTACTACTACTAGCACTTTTCTAGCGGGCAACTCGCCCGATCGTCAAACTTCCCAGAGCAGGAGGATGGCGATGAGATGAGATGAGTCGAGCCGGGTCGAGTCGGGTCGGGGAAGGCGACGATGATGCCAGCGGTAGAAGTTCCAGCACTGGGCAGCACCGGCTCCTTCTGCTCCTCCTCCGCCTCCTCCTCCTCCTGGACGCTCCAGATAAGATCGATGGATTCTTATGCTTAAGGAAGGCAGGCTTCTATCCCCTTTACTTCCGCTTAGGGATATGCACAACCTCTGCAATCAATCTCTCTCTGTCTCTTCCTGCCCCCTTCACCATCAATCAGCAGTGGAGGTAGCAGCAGCATCAACTACATTGCGTCGCGCACCCTTTCCCTTCTATATAATACTACTCTACTCTACTCTCTGCACTGCTCCTCCACGCTCCCTCCCTCCCCTTCGAACCGACGACGTCTCGTCCACTGTCCGTCCTCTCTCCGTCCCCTCCACCCGACTTTCGTTCGTCGCCGGGTGGTGCTTCCGAATCCGCACAGTGGCGCGGTCATGGGTAGGAAGTTCCATCGGACGGTGATAGATAGGGAACCCATAGCTGTATTTCAGTAAGGAGGCGAGGGGGTAATGAGAAGAGGAGGGTACCTTCCTCCCTGCCTTGGGGCGGTGGGGCGGGTGATTGCCACGTGGGCTGGCTGAGAGGCGTTGGGAATGCCTACCTGTGGTACCAAGTACGCGGCGGGTCGACGAATAATATGGGCATTCACCACCATTCGAATGAATGAATGAACTGGAACGAACGAATAGTCTATACCATCCATTAATTAATTCGTTCGTTCGTTCATATGGAAAGAAGGAAGTGGGAGGGGGGGCTTGGAATAGCTATAAGCCTGGAGTGTCCTATCCATGTTGTGGCAAAGTCTTATCCCAACTATCGTTCGCTGGCCATCACCCCCCAATAATATATAAATATAAATATACTGCTACTACTACTATCCCCTCCTCCCCAACTTACACAGAATCTCCAATTAATAATAGTGCGCTTCACCCCCTCGTAGAATTGTTTCGCAAAAACCTCTCTATTCAATCGACTGGCTCCGCAATTGTGCGCCGTCGGATGGCACATGCCGCTTAGATGCAATCGCAACCGCTGATCGGATTTCTGGGAACGGAGGGAGGGAACGTAGGGGAACCAGGGGGGCGGGCAGGTTGGGAACTGAGAAGCCATTCCAGATTGGGTCCGCACTGATACACATTCACAGACATGGGGTGCTGAATTTTGATCAGGGGCTGCCTGTCTATCCCCACTTTTCAAACTCTTTCTTTTTTGTTGACATACACAACAGCACTCAATGTACATGATCCTTTTGTTTCCAGGAAGAAGTTTTGCAACTCATACTTTTTTATGTAGCATTAGAATTTGTATAAGAATATATAAAAGAGGTATTGTAAAGCAAGATATACTTTACACATAGTAGACTTTACTTCTAAGAATAAATATAATTGTATAAAATTAAGATGACATGTTAGATAATTAATCAGTTTACTAGTTATTTAACCTTGTAATTTTTCTATTTGATCTTATCATGACTATTTTTTTTATCTTTTTTAGAAATACAAGCTCTAATTAAAATAACATAATTAAATAATTAAAATAATACAAGTTTATTTGAGATTAGGTATGATAATGATGGATGATGTGGTGTTTGAAAAGAATGAAATAAAAATTATAAAAAAGACATGTGTTAAGGACAACAATGTGCCTCTCGCAGGCAGGGTTGTTGCAATAGCTGTAATGCTGAAAAAACGTAAAATCAAATTAGTATTTAAAATTAGAAACTGGAAAAAGATCTCAGAAACAAACTTGTTTTGAAGCATTATAAGAAATTTGTATAGCATATAAATATAAATCAACGAAGTTTCTAAATTTCATATAATGGATTTTTTTTCAAGTAATATATATATATATATATATATATATACATACAGTGACAAACAAAACTGAGTACAAAATCTGAAGTGCCAACTTTCAAGAGCAATTACAGAAATTTCAATGATTGCTTTATAAATCTGAAAGTTACATGGAATAATACACACAGTCTTGTACACATGTACAAAGTTGCACATCAAATTGATAACTAAACATCCTTCTACAAAGTCAAATCAACAACTATGTCTTGTACTCAGTATTATTCAAAGAAAATCTTCAAACTTCAATATTTAGTCCAATAACCTTTTGCTTCCAAAACAGCTGAAATCCTTCTTGGCATACTTTTGTATAGTTTCTCACAATCTTTTGCATCAAAACTAGGGTAAATACTACAAACATTCTCCCACAATTCTTGAACACCTCTTGGCCTTGGAGTGACTTGGCTTAAACGTTGTTTGAGAAGGGCCCAAAAATGTTCTATTGGATTCAAATCTGGAGATTGAACTGGCCATCGAAGGAGCTGAAATGGCTGTGAAGAGAGCCAAAACTGAACACTTTTTGCCGTATGTTTGGGATCATTATCATGTTGAAAAACCACCTTAGTAGGATCTAAGTTGTAATTCTGTGTGGTACTTTGCAAGTAGGTTTCTAAAATTTTTTTGTACAAGTGTTGCTCCATTCTACCTTCAATTTGATACCAAGCACCCAGCCCAAAAGCAGTCATACAACCCCAAATCATAATTGAACCACCACCATGTTTGATAGTTTGACTAACATGTTTAGGTCCAGGTCGTTCTCCTTCTCTCAACCAACACCAAGACCTACCATCTGAGTTGATTAGGTTAATCTTTGTCTCATCACTGAAAATAACCCGTCTCCAATCATCAACGGTCCAATTTTTGTATTTATGAGCAAAACTCAACCTTGCAAGAACATGTCTTTTGGCAAGTAGAGGCTTCTTTTGTTGCACACAAGCACCCAAACCAGCTTCTCTCAAACCACGCCTCAAGGTGATGTCTGAGAAGTGTTTACTTGTTTTTTCTCGAAGTTGTTTTGCAGCTGCACTTGCCATTTTGAGACAACCAGCAGTGACAAGGTGCACACCAAGTTGCTTCTCTTGCTCTCCTAAAACCTTTGGATGTCCTCCTCTTTGCTTTTCTATTTCACCACTAATCTCCCTCCTCATATGAGCTACTAAAGACTGACTCATTCCAAGTGAGTCTGCAACTTTTCTTGTAGAAACACCACTCCTAAGTTGCACCAATGCTTGGTGCTTCAATGATTCACACAACCGAGGCATAGAGATACAATTGACAAATCAACTTTCACTATAGATAGTATACAACAAGAGCAACACAACAAACAAAAAATGCCCTCAAATCTTGCAACAAGGAGTGTACATTGAAATTTTGAAATTCAGCAAGAAGAAGTAACCAAAACTGAGTACGCACGTCTGTGTGCTTCTACAACACTTTTCTCATAAACCCTACCTCAAATGATAATGAGATTTTTCATCCATGTAGAGGACTGGATGAATACACACAATAAAAAAGTAATTCTATCAATTGACTTATGTGTCAGTTGGAAGGATCAATGAACTATGAGTGTTCAGATTTTGTACTCGATTTTGTTTGTCACTGTATATATATATATATATATATATATAAGGTAATAAGATGTATTTTTTTAATAATAGTAGTTTATATTCATTCTATATTAAAAAAAAAAAAAAAAAAAACATATATATATATTTATATATTTACATGCACAACAAGAAAATTAGGTTAAATTTTTTCTTTTATAAAAATTTAATATTTAAATTAAAATACAAAAATATATTTATAATGATAAAATAGATAAAAAGCTTAGTACAAAAAAACATATTGAAGCATCATTAGTTTAGTGATACATGTTGATTAGAATAATATTATTAAAATAAGCTACAGTTTTGATAAATCAATAATCAAAATAAATAAGAGTGATATAAAAACTTTCATGGTATATTTTATGTAAAATATATTTTTGTATCTTTCAAAAACATATACAATTGTATTAGAAAAGATAACATAATTGAAGTTGTGAGATATATTTAAGTTAGTTTTTAGTTGTATTTTGATAATAATTTATAAACTTTATTTTATTGTAAATTTTAAATTTAAAATACCATATTTACTAATGTAATAATATATATATATATATATATATATATTCCTAATGTACATAATGAGAAAGGTCATCCAACGGCATGCCCAGCTAAGCCGCACAATAGTAAAAGGAAAGAGTCATCCGGGTAAGTGGTAAGGGCATCAGCATCAGCCTCCTTCTCGATTGAATAGAGAGGATTCTGCGACGAGGGCTTCACGTCATCCCTTCTCGTTTGTGGGTTTGTTTGTTGGTGTGTTGGTCTGTCTCTGTGAGCACTGACCCCCCCTCTTTGTTTGTCATGCAAGCTCTGTTGCTGCTGCTGGTGTTGCAGTGGTTGCTTATTCTTCGTTCATTGGCCCATCCATCATCCATCTGGTTTTTGTTTATTGTGGCTGCTGTGTCTCCTCAATATAAGGAACAAAACCGTGCGTTGTCTGTCTGGCTGTCAGGGCTCCTCCTAATCCTCCTCCACCTCCTGAATTTTGCCGATCGCTCATTACTGCTGTTGGGTCACATTCCTCCACTGGGTTTGTTGTTGGGTTTGTTGGGTCATGGGCGAATTGCGATGGTTTCCTTCGCTGTGTGTGTGTCGATGTGCGCGATGGGTGATGGTCCTGATGGACCTCTCGTGCGCAGTTCCGCTCACGGTTGCGATTGTTTGTAATTTTTACTCCTTCCTCTTCGTGCAGCTTTTTTTGCGTTTGTAGGAGTTGTGTGTTTTTTGCGTTATCGCTTCTGCAATTGGGTTGCAATGTCGAAACATGTTTTAGATATTTTCTTATACGTTTCGTTACCGTTGTAGATACCATTGGTTTATTGTCTTCAATTCAAACTTTGTTATTTGTAGTTTGATTTTATGCTTTGTTATTGTTTTAATTTTACAGCATTGGATTTTGATAGTCGGTTGCTTGTTGTAAACGTTTAATGATGGTAATGGTGTTGTATATTATCAACATTTTTTTCTTTTTTCTTTTCCTCATTTTCTTATTTGTGATAAAAGTATAGTTACCCTCAACCATGTAGTATAGAATAATTATTCAATTGAAATCAGCATTAGCCAGTCTTGCTTTGCTTCATGACTAACATTTAAAACTATGTTCTACAATAATGAATAAAGAAATGCAATGCAAAAAATGTAGCCAAAAATCACAATAACTTACTTTTATTAATATTGCAACAAAAAAATAAAGGATACTGCAATAGTACATATACACATGTTTGAAATAATATGAGAAGAAACATCGTACACATAAATGTGAAAGAGATATATAAACAAAATAGTACTCGATAAAAAAAAAAGGGGGGGGGCGGTTGTTGCCAATATATAATATGTCCTTATTATTATATTTATTTGTAAAGTCACTAAGAAATGGTTCAAAATAAGTTAGCTTGAAAAGTTGTACAAACTTTACTTATTTTTGTTCAGCTGGACATATTATATATTGTTTATGTTAAAACTTTCATACAAAACATGCCTACTTTAACATGTATATATATATATATATATATATATATATTTTATGATCATGTCACGATATATTATTACAATCTTAAGATAAATTCCTTCTACCCAAATTTTACAATAAGTTGTGAAATTCAAAATACTGATACAAACTTAATAATAATATATATATATATATATATATATATATTCACACACACACACAAAGTCAACCCTCATACTACATGTATATATAATATCCACATACTATATATGTATACCCACATATCCATATACATGTTATTGTCTCATCTGCATTCCTAAAATTGTAATATGCTTTATTTAAACCATTTTACACCCCGAAAACTGCCATCATACCTTAAAAAGTTGTCCCCTAACTCCACATAATTTTTATGTTGCACCTTTTTAATTGAATCCAACATTCTGATTCAGATTTGGAGGCAGCAAACAGAACGACAGATCTGTTTTTTCAGCCACTCCACAAAAGCTTAACGAGAAAAATGGAAAAGAGCGTGCAAAGCTGTGGATGGAATGTCTATAATTTGAACAGGCTTGAGGATACTTCACAACTGTATGCCCTTTGAAGCGTGGCAATAATAGCAGATGAAGCAAACATGGATAGTGAGACTATTCCGTTCATACAAGAATATTCACATCTGCTTCGCTGTCTCGATCAACTCTTTAGAGAAATTTCACGTCGCAGTTTTCCAAGATTATAGAATCTTCTCCCTCGGTAAGACAGGGAATGCCAGATGATGTAGTATTGGGGCTTCATCAATTCTACGTTGAACGGTATCGTGCAAGACCCCAGTTGCAAAACAGTATTCAGCACAAATTGCCATGGTTGCTAATTTTCAGACGAATTGTTTTGGATAAAAGCGTCATTGATTTATTGAAATGTGGGTTTTGTTTCCACCGAGCAAAAGGGTGAAATTTCAGCAGGTCAAAATCTGCTGAGAAACGTCAGAGCATTGACGACTTCGAAGATCACCTAAACGTTCGAAAGAATATCCAAAAACTCAGCCAATGCCTTCACTTAACTCAGTGTACACCTGGTTGTCATGTCTCACCAACAGAAGAGATAAAAAAAAGTTCTGCACGTTTGAATATTGAATGAAACAACCTCGTTGATTCTAAACCACATCCCAGATTTCCTACCACACCCAAGCATCGTTGAAGAAGCTTTACCTATCACTGCCTTGTGCCCATCAGGAGCTCAAGGTTGGATTCGGGGTTAAATCGTAAAAAACGAGCCTGAAGCAACTGAAGCGGAGAGGACATCCCGGCTAGATTCGCACCTGGGGCGTCACACAACAACAGCATCTTGGAAGCTACAAGTTAGCATTGACAGGGACGCGTTCGTACATGCTGCTAGAAACTGCAGAGTCCTTCGGACTTGGCAAAGAAATGAATCTGAGTGTTTACTTTACATACTGTATGACAACCTAGACTCTGTTAGATGGTCTTGGCATTATTATCCTGCGTTGCTCCTTGCGAGTCAGACGTATTTGACTATCACCTGAGTTTTTTACACCTACTAATTGCTGGAGCATTGCACGCGAGGATCTGTCGGGGGAAAACCCAGCACGTGTCATCTGGTCAAGGACTATTTGAGCATCGGCAGCTTGTTTCGAATGACAATACGCCTGAATCATGGTGTCGTAAGAAACTGCATTAGGGCTAATCCCTTGGGCTTGCATCCTCCGAAACAAGATAGCAGCCTGGACAGAGTGTCCATATCGGCCATAAGCACCCATCATGACGTTGTACAGAGTCAAATCGGGAAGGCAACCAGAAGCCAGCATTTCGTTAAAGAAAGCTCCTATCTCCTGCATCTTCCCTTGCCACCCGAACGCCTGTATGAGGCAGCACCAAGTAACCACATTTGGTATATAACCATCGTTTTGCAACTGCCTGAATACAAGGGCAGCTTCTTCAGCAGATCCAGCCTTCCCATACACACTTATCATTAGACTATAAATCATCAAATCTGGCTTACACCCTACCCTCCGCATTTCTAGGAACACTTCGATTGCTTCCTTGTGCTTAGATGCACGGCAGTACATTTGAACCAACCCAGTGTAAGTGACTACAGTCGGTTTAAGCCCTGCATCTAGAATCCTTTGATATACCTCCGCAGCCTCTTTCAATCTCCCACCTTGGACATGCATCATGAGCAGCGTATTGAAGGTAATGATATTTGGTACAACCTCCAGCCTTTGCATTTCTATTTCTAGCTCTTTGCATCGTTCTGTGTGCCCTCCTCTACTGAGCACGGATAGTAGTGTGTTGTACGTCTCCACTCTGGGCAAAATCCCGTTTTCCTTTATCTTAGAAAAAATCTTCTCAGCTGTCTCGACGGGGAGCTGCGTCTTCCCAACCCCGCTCAAAAGTGTACTAAGTGTGATTTCGTCAGCTTGTATTCCACTTTCCACCATATCCTCATACATCCTCCAAGCCTTCTTAAAAAGGCCTTTTCTCGCATAAGCTCCAATCATGGAATTAAAAGAGTGAAGACCTACCTCTACACCTGAAGAAAGCATCTCATCAAACAATTCTCGGGCTTGAATTGTCAAACCTGCTCGCCCCAACACCCCAAGAACAAGGGTGTAGGTGTGTCCATTTGGTTTCAGTCGCCCTTTCTGCACCCGCATCCACTCAAAGACTTCGAGAGCAAGAGCTACGTTCATTCGTGAGCCGAGTTCTCGGATGACCCTTGCGACATCTACCCGTGTTATCTTCCCTACCCACGCATCGAGCACAGCCCATGCTCCTAGAATACCCTCTTCTTCCAGATCCGCAAGCATACCATCGACCCTCTGTGCGCAGTCAGCTGATGTCCATGGAGCTTGAGAGGCCTTGGTTCGCGGTCTGATTTTCCCGTTCCAAGGTTTCTTTATCTTTCTGCCGAGGTTTTCAGTGTGTAAACTCGTCTCCATATTCAACACAGAAGCCTCCATTTGTTTCGAACATCGCCAGCAATCCCAGATAATGTCAGCATTTCTGATAAAAATCTACTTTAAAGCGTAATGAATTCTTGAATTTCGTCTGTATCTACACCTAACCAACAAACCTACTGAGCCGAAAGTCACCGACATCTTTGGCAGGTCAATTTCCTTCACGAGATTTTAGCATGGTTGTGGATGGTTTTCTCGGTGATCAGGTGCATTAACGAGAAAAGGCATGATCTCCAAGATATACAGATCTTACAGCCATCAGAAGGATACCCCCTCAATTGCAAAAATCTCACAGCCATGAGCGAGTAATTACCTGAAGCAAGTTATCCAAGTCAACAACGGGCGATTCTGGAATGTCCAACAGCGCTCCAACAGACGTTGCCTGTCCGAGACGAGAACTGACGCAATCACCAACACCGTCCACCACACACGTTGTACTCTACAAACACCACAGACCGTCAAACCCTCTTCGAAAGATCTTACTCACCGACATTGCAGCGCAACACATGCAGTATCGTCCTCTCAATCCAGGAGGCCACAAAAGCAATAGAGCCTGGAAACCCCTCGATAAACTCCCGTACATTCATCAAGATCCAAGGATTCTGCCCCCCTTCCCCCCATTTCACGAAATTTCACAAACCTTCGCAATGACGGACACATAGTCAGGCTTGGTCGCCAGGCGAGTGCAACCAGGCGCACACAGCGATGGCAATTGTCGACCAGCCATTGCACCGGAGTGCAACATTCTGCTTGTCGTGTTTGTATGTTGCAAGCCTCGCATTGACAAGATGGGACGGAATCAGTCCCGCTCGCCCCCCTTTCCTCCCACTCCCCAATTCCGCTCTGCTTCCGCACCTCACCTCCGCTCCTACACTTTTTTCGCTCCTTCGCCGCGCTTCCTTCGTGCCATCGCTCCTCCAACCCTTTGTCGAATTGAACAGCAACCACAGCTGCGGATTCTGAGCCTCTCCCCGACGATGATCGTTTCCAGCTGTCGACTCTGCGATGGCGTAAGAAAGATCATCACTTGGGTTCAGTGGACGGGTGCACTTCTCCACCTCTCCTCGTTCCTCCGCCTTTCGACACTCCCCACCCTCCCCAAGGCAGGATAAAACACCGCATGGATGAATGACTAAGTGAATATGGATGACTTTTATGTTTTTCTTTCTCATCGCAATACAAGGCCAACCACACATTACTAAGCTATTCATTCTAATTGGCCAATCGTGATGCCTGGATGCCCGGGCTCCACCCCCCCCTCTCGCGTATTCCCTCCTGCCCGGGCATTACGCTCATCCCAACCCCCGGTCCTTCTGAGGCCGTGAAGCTCCGCGCGTCGGGCCTTATGCCGGGCCCTCGGAATTCGAGTCTTCGCAACGAGGGTTTGCTTTAAAGTGCACGGGAAACGCCTCCTCTCGGGTGGGCACGACCAAATCCAACACATCTTAAAGTTTCGGTCCACATTTTGAAGAGTGGGTTTCTTTTTGTGAAAATGTTCGTAGAAGTGAAATTAAATAAATTGAAAGGGTGTACACTTTGGAAGGGTTTTGTGATCCAAGAACAAAAAACCCTAAAAAAGTTGTGTGAGCAAGTTTTAAGCTCAGATTCATTGTAGTAGAAACTTGATGAATCAATGGTCTTGGTTTCATTTGGTATAATTTGGTGTACCATTTTTTTTTTTTTTTTTTTTTTTTTTAAAGACTAAACTTAGGTTTAAAAATAATGTCACCTTATATAAAAACATGATGGTTATGTATGAAGAAAGTTTATGTAAGTCTAATAAAAAATATCATTTTTGCTAACATTGAATGAATGTTCTTTACAATGTGCAAGTGTGTTTGAATTTGACTTTTGACTATATTTGAACTAATTAATACTTAATATGTGATGTGAGTTCTTTCAAGAATAATCTGTCATTATTTTTAGTTTTTTTGTCAACACAGGCAGTCTTTCGAATATTTTACCTTGATTTGTTGCGATAATTTCCTTTCAAAACATTAGTGGCTAAAAATGTAATCACAAATCTTGAAATCCAATAAATATGAATAAAAAGATATACATGCATAAATTACTTTAAAACATGGGACATTTAGCCGAATAGCTAAACTAGAATACTAGGATGTAGGACTGATCAATAAATAAACAACTACAAAATCATTGGGTAGTCATAGATCAAACACAGTTTTTGTCTTGCTTGTATTTAAATTAATGTTTTTCTTTTTCTTTTTGAAAGGACAGGACACATTTTTTGAGTTCTACTAACATGTTGTATACACCGATGAGGAGATGTTACTGAAAGACTTTATAAGAAAATTTACCTTCAAAATTTTTAGATAATATTCTTTGTAGAAGCTTCATATGAAACATTGTTGATTAAATTTGTAATAGAACTTATAAATCAAAATATAAACCAATGAAGGGCTCCATGAGTAATAACAATATTTTAAAAATAAATTGTGAATGTGAGCAAAATTAAAAGCTACTTATTGTGATACTATTACAATTATTATCATTACTTATTGTTTATACTTATGAACAACTTTGACTTTAAAATTATACTTTAAAAAAGAAATAGTTTTAATCAAATATACAATTAGTTATAGATAGGCAACTAAGCCCACTATTAACATCTATAAATATGAATGGATGTATGTATATATATATATATATATATAGAAGTTAAAGTGAAATTCTACATCTAATTTCTAATGTATATTAATAACTAAATCTGATAATTTTTTAATTATCAAGTTTTCTTTATTTAAAAGTTATTTGCTAATATAAGGGATGTGTTTAATTTAAAAGATATAGTTGATATTATGTAATACAATTAGATAATCTCTATATATTTCAATTGTACTTCTTTTCCAATATATTATTCTTGTGTCTAGTTTAATCTATACCAATAGCATATACACAACATTCAACAATTTTAGTTTTTGGATTGTCAATGAGTCTAGCTTTTTAGGTCTAAAATAAATCCAACTTGTCACAAATTAGTACTAGTAATTTGAACTAATTTATTATTAGAAAAATATTATAAATTGGCTTTTAATGATGTTCTTGCAAGCAAAGTTTAGTCCTTTGTTTTTTTTATACCAAATTCAATTTTCTCTCTTAATTAACCTTCTCAAGAGTAAGCTAAATTTAAAACTTTAATAAAATGAACAAGGAATTAATAATTTTAATAGAACAAGGAATTGGAAAGCAATATAGAGCTTTCAATAGCAATTAACATCAATACTACAAAGTCTAATATGAGCATTTTTTTGTAAGTTTTTAAATATTGCCAATTGATTAATAAGAACATTATTATAATCTATTTCTTATTCTCATTATCATAGTCTATATATAAAAGTGTTGTTTAGAATACAAAGCATTGCAAATATCATTTGCAAATTGCTCAAAACAATTCACATACCATAATAATCTTTGACATAAGCAAATAATAATATAATCCAATCACCTCTATAATCTATATGTGCATTTGGAAATTATTCAAAAAACTTTCTTGATATCTCATCCACTACAAATATCAATAACATGTTCTTATTTTTTTAAATATGTTATTACAAAAAATATAGCTTTTTTAATGCTCAATGTAATAAGAACTAATACTTTAATACAAGATTTTTGTATACTGCACCAATATTTGAGCAAAAACTTGGAAATGTAATGGTGGCATTTCACCAATAGCCACCACCACCACTCAAATTACATTCTAAAAGTATAGGAAGGGCTAAATTCGTAAAAAATAATTGAGAGTAGTTACAAAAAAGGAACTAAAAAGGTTGAACCTAAAATGGTGACTAAAATGCTAAGAAATGGTAAGGAGAACAAAAAGAGGGTAGGAAATGAGCATGATTATAACTTTTTTGATCAATTGCTATCAAACAATTACCAAATAGATGGATAGGATAATGAATACAATGAATAGATAGATGAGACTTTGGATAGGTTCACTCAAATAGACACTTTTAACTTTGATATCTAAAAATATTTTTTATATAATTAAATTAATATATTTAATTTTTCTTTATTTTAATATTAACACATCTTCAAACTAATCTTATTTGGTTACACAAGGATCAATTAACACTCAAAGTGGGAGACGTGACGCGGTGGGCCCGAGGAGGCCGCGGTGCGTAGAGCAACAGCCGCGGCCGCGCGTCTGCGGCAGCCGGCACACCAAAGCTCACCATTTTTCTTGCTGTCGCCTCCTTGGCAACGTTAAAAAGTTGCTCAGAATCCCAGTTTGTGCGCTTCGACGCTGTGGTCGGAGCTAATACGCAATCGACAATCGACATCCCTCGCTAAGATCTTAGCCAGAGTTTAGCAGAGATGGTACGATTCTCATGTTTTTCTTTGGTTATATTGTCTCCAATTTTTTTTTTTTTTTTTTTTTTTTTTTTTGATTGAGCATTGTTCGTCTGTCTGGGCGTAGCTTGTGTTGCGAATCGGATAGAACGCTCTTCTCTAATTCTGTGTTATTATTGTTTTTTTCTTTTAGCACTTTAGAAGAGAAACTTAATTGATCCTAAGTTGTGCTCGACCTGGATCTGTAACGAGATTAGGGTTGATGATTTTGTTGAATCAAGGGATTTTCCCGCATGAAGTGGATGTGAGGGCTTGAAAAATGAGTTCAAGAAGACTTAGAAGGATTTTAGGCTGGACTGAAAGAGTCATGGTTGAATGGAATGACCACAGGGCGACTCAGAGCTGGACGCCATTCGGCAGCGCCGGATGCAGGAGCTCATGGCGCAACGCGGAGGACAAAAGGGTGGTGCGGTAAGCCTTTCTGAAACGCGGATGATGTCTGTAAATTGCTAGGGTCGGTTATTGATGTTTTACACTTGATTTGGCTGGTGTTGATAGACGTTCCTTTGTCCTTTCTGATGTTACCAATGCGTGGAAGGTTCTGCACAGGGCGGTGCACAAAGTTTAGAACAACAACAGGCTCAAGAGGAGCAGCAGAGGTGTGTGCGTTTTATTCTGTTTTTTCAGTCACTTTTTGTCTGAGACAGTCATGCTCAGCTGTTGTTTCGCTGCTATGTGTCTACATTCCACGTGTTTTTGTTCTGAGTCACTTGCTCTTGGTCGCTGAGTTATGCATCTATTACTTGGACAGAGAGGCTGCAGAACGCAGACAAATGATGCTTGCTAGGGTTTTGTCGTCGCAGGCACGTGAACGGCGTAAGATTTTACTCCGCTGGCAGCTTGATTAAGTTTCTTAATTAGTCCATCAGATTCCACATGCTTAGGAAGCTGGTAAAATCTGCATTGAAGATTGTATGTATGTCATTTTGTAAATTTGATTACATGGTTTTGAAAGTTAATTAACTCCTTGGATTTCACCATGTCCTGCCCATGGGATGTTTCTTCTTCCTTTTTCTTTCTTTTCTCTCCGCTTTATTTATTTATTTATTTATTTATTTATTCACAATTCTCGTTTTATTTCTTGTTGGCAGTGGCTCGAATTGCCTTGGTGAAGCCTGACAAAGCCAAGGGTGTAGAGGACGTCATTCTGCGTGGTGCACAGTATGGACAAATCACAGAAAAGGTGTGCTTTGAAATGCTATTATCTCGTAGTTGCTGCAGCAATTTCAAAGGATATTCTGCTTGATTGGAGTTGAGTCCTCAAATGATCATCGTATTGTCTACTAGGTCTCGAGGCCCCAACACCGAACGGTTACAACGGTAGGATTCAATTATAATCTCAAAATTTGCACTCAATTTGTGTTTCGGGCCTTTCTGATTTGTTGTTTCAGGTGTCTGAAGAAAGACTTATACAACTCCTCGAGCAAATCAATGAGCAAACACAGAAGAGCACCAAAGTTGTGGTATGTATCCTTCGATGTCATGCAATAATTTGCCGACGTAGAGTGAAGTTAATGGCTCCATAGCATATCGTTTACAAATCATAAACCTCATTCTAAGTCTGATTGTATTTCGTCACTAACTGTTTCTGTTGTCATGTACTACAGATTACAAGGCGAAGGAATGTTTTTGACGATGACTCATGAGCCATGACATCAGAATCAATTGACGCTCTGAATTGAGTCAGAAGATGTGCGAGATTGGGTGCAAATAGTTTGATGGGAGTTTGGTTTGATGTGTTGCAGTGGGTATTCTGACTGGAGGAGACGAAAACTTGGATATCTGAAGGGACACAATGATGTGATATTTAGAAATCTTTGAGTTTCTTATAAGTGCTTTTGTTATTTTTATAGTGATGTTGAATTGGAGGCCCCGTTTTGTGCAAGTTCTTCAAACTGGGGGTTTAGTTTGAAGCTCATACATCTGAATTACATGTGTTTGTTCTGGGTGAACTGCACCTTGCTGAGAAGACTGCAGAAAATTGTGTATGTACTTAACAATCTAGTGATGTGCCAGTCCGCATTGATGACAATATGACTGCAAGTTAAAATTTTGTGTATTACTGTCATATTTAGGGCATAACGTTGTTATTTCTTAAGAAGTATTTGCTATGTGCTTTGTCAAAGAATACAGAGACATCCTTTACTAAATATTTATGAGTTGTAATTCATCTCACTTCCTTGAAGGTGCACCTGCGACGGAATTTGAGAAAGTTCTAGGGCTCTTGTAAAATTTATTCTAAGTTAGAAAATTGCCTATTCTACCCCCCGTTGCTAGAGATTTTGGTTTACATAAATTCCAAACAACGAAGATTATTTCATGTTCAAGAAGATGTTTTGCAACATCTCAGTGTGAATTACTCCAGAATTAATTTGATTCAGACTGATCTCAGTGATTTGGAATGTGCTATAGTACAAGTGATCTTATCATACTCTTGTTTGTTCAACTTGGTATGTAAAAATTTGTGAATGGTTATTTTAAGGTCACTGCACAAGTGTTAAAGAAATTGGCTATATGTCTTCTACAAAGTGGTACATCTAAAATGTTCTACATTACCACAAAGAGTTTAGCACAATAATTCTAGATTAGCTTTGCTTACTGATTTATATTTACTAATAGATGTCTTTTTATTTAAAGGTAAGAGCTTGCAATTTCTGAATCCTTTGATTGGCTAAAATCAGTCTTAAGGACCCAAGTGAAAATGATGAGGTAGAATACTTTTTTTTTTTTTTTTTTTTTTTTTTTTGTCTCCCTCCTTTTCATGCCATGAGTAGTGTTCTTTCTTAAAATTTGTGGTAAGTCTACCTCAAGTAGTCTTTAGATTACAAGACCCAATTTAAAAAGCCACCTTACAAAAGTTTAACACAAATGTCTTTCTTAATGAAGAAAATTTCTTTTTATGAAGCCTTGGTCTTTAGCAATGGTATCAAGTCAAAGTAAGGAAGTCTTTAAATTTAAGAAAGAAGGTAAGAAGCTACAATTTTTGAATTGTTTGATTGGCTAAAATCCTAAAGCATTACTTAGTCAACTTATATTTGAAAAAATAAGCTTAAAGGCTCTAAAACAAAAGATGAAATTTAATGTGTTTTTCTTCTATTCAATATGAATATTTTTACCCCTTAGAATTTGTAGTAGATCAACTTTATGAGAGCCATTTGTTTTGTTTTGTTTTGTTCTTTTCTTTTCTTTTCTTTTTAAATCTACAAAATAAAATATAACATTAACTATTATTATCATTGTTTTATCATTCTTATTAGAATCAAGGTATAAGTTGGCATGTTTAGATTCATAATATAAAAAAATATATTATTCTTATTTATAGCATCTTCTAACCCCATTCTATAGTGTATAATTTATAACCTCTAACTTCTAATAATTAATTAATTTTTATTGACTCTTATGGACTAAAAAAGATAATTAACAAAGACCATGTAGCTCCCAAGGCAAAAGCAAGCAACCTAGATTGTAGGGTCCTAATAAGGATGATTTCTATTATGCCTTGAACACACCATCTATGATGATTAATAACCTTTGTTAATTAATAATTATCTTACAATTAATGATATTAATTAACAAAGAAAATATTATATTTATATAAATTTTAATATTTATTGTAAATATGGCTTTTTGATTCCAATCAATTAAATAATTTATAAATATTGTCCTATCTTTTTTTCTTTTTTTCTTTTTTTTTAAAAGATAAATGACTTTTTTAAAGAGAGATTTTGTACAAAAACTCAAGAATTTAAAAAAAATTATTAAAAACTAATAAAAAAAAATAAAAATAAAATATATTATACTTATTATAAGTTTTAAGAGAAAGACATGAGCTAACATATTTCAAATAATAGTAAATAAATAACTAAATTAAGAGTTCATTCTTTAATTTATTTTTACTTTAGACTTGGCCAAGAAACTGGAGTGGTCAGATAAACGTTATAGTTTGCAGAGGAGCAGGAAGGACGTGTGTTGTTTGTAGAAGACTTTGGTTTTTGAGCAATGGCCATATGATCAGACTGGTCAAAGGTGTACTATTCTGGCTTGAGGCTGTCAGGCAGCTTGATGTTCACATGAATTTAATCATGTACTTGTAGTTGAATGAGATGTAGATGCCTTTTCTAGATCATGATAGTCACATAGTTGTAGCCTTTGTCGAAACTTTTGAAATAAAGACTTTCCTATGGATGGAACAAAATTAACATGTATATCTCCACTTGTGATTCTTTCACGAGTAAAATGATAATGTGCAGGAATATGTTTTGTGCGTTGATTATTTGCTTTTTTTTTTCACAATGAATAATCACAAACTTATTTATTTTGAGCCCAAAATCATTAATTAATTTCTTTAACAAAGTTGCTTCTCTTGTTGCTATAGAGAGAGCCATGTATTCAGCCTAAGTAGAGCTACAAACAATTGTTTGTTGTTTCTTTGACATCCAAGTTATAGGTGCTTGTCCAAGACTAAAGACAAAGCCAGTTGTTGATTTTTCATCTTCAAGGTCACCTGCCCAATCATCATCTACATATCCAAAGATGTCAAGAGAGGTATTTTGTTTTTAAAGTATGCCAAAATGTTGGATATCATTTAGATCTCAAAAAATACATTTAACTGCTTGAAGATGAGGAATTTGAAGTATTGCCATAAATCTACTACAGATATCTATAGCATATGATATTTCAAAACGTGTGTGTTGAAGTTGTATCAATTTTCCAACAAGTGATATATACAATTTTGGATCACAAGATAGAATTTTTATATCAATGTGTAACTTTTGTCTTTCATAGCTGGTTTGTTCAACGATGTTGGCATCATGAAGAGCTCGTGAACTGTGATCAATTGAAGGCCGAGAAAAATGCCACGGTGCTTGGCGGTAGGGAGAGGGTGGTGCCATGTGGAGAGGGGCAGGAGCAGGGCATTATCGGGAGGTATGTCCACGCATGCCACATTGAGTACAGAGGAAGGAATCGGGATGTACCTGATTTCTTGAGGAAGAAGTATTAAAACGGAATTGGGTTGAGGGACGGTATCGTCGATGTGCTGCATCTCTTAAGTGCATTACAAGAGCCTCCTCAGAATCCGATTTTCGAAACAAAGGGTGTTGTTCTTCCATCTGTAATCGGGCCCCGAGCTCCTCTAGTGACGGGATGCTCCGTTCTTTGCGGATCTGTCGAGCTAGGAGATTGAACCGTTGCGGCAGCCTACTCAGGATTTAATGGACGATTATCGCGTTACTCTGAGGATGACCAATATACACAAGCTCTCGTTGAATGTCATAGACACGCGTCATGAAAGTCATGACATCCATACTTTCGGGCATCCGTAATGCTTCCCATTTGTTGAGGACGACCATCGTATTGGCTATAGTGTTGATGTGGTACATGCTCTCAAGCATGCGCCAAGCAAGTCGTGGATCAATAACATCTATAACAAAAATGCGACGTCCAGGTTGTAGAGATAGCACCAGTAATGACGATGCACGTTGTCATTTAAGGCGAAGACGTTCGATGTCCAGGGGGTTCCTGCTGGTAGTGGATGACGAAGCGACAATAGGTGGAGTGGAGGTTTCGCTGCTGTCGACAAGGTCAGGGCCGGGTGTAGAGGAGCCTGTAGTCGCCGAAGCTGTATCAATTTCGTTTGTTTGAACAATGGCAGGGAATGTGTCGCCTACGACATCCCAGATCTTCTCGAAGGAAGATGCTCCTCAGCGTAGACTTCCAGAGTCGAAAATTGGAGGGCCCAGCGAGCATCACCTCCTCAGAGACAACGGTATCCATGGTTCCCATGCCGTGCAGAAAGTAGAAGGGATAAAATATAATACAAATGGAATCAAGAACTAGTGTGCAAAGCAGGTGTATAGTACTTACCTAGAGTACTCCTTGTGCGACTAGCGCATAAGAGAATAACGAACCAGGACCTAGCCGCTCTGATGCCATGTAGGAACAAACAAAGCTGTAATTTTATAAAACAAAAACATACTCTGACCCGAGCAGGATTACATACTTACACGCGGAGTACTGGATAGTTTGGTTAGATAGATGAGTCTTTTCATCCATAGCAGATTATGCCAACAGAGGAACTTGCGGGTGGTTTCCAGCTCGCTTAAGGTCCTCGGGGTCGTCGCTGGATGTGATTTCTCGATGTGTACACCCTCGCCAGCAGCTTGCAGACAAAGTCATCTGCTTCCTCGCTCTCTGAATCATCTTTTAAATCAGTTGCTCAAAGCCCTCTTGTAGACCTTCGTAGCAAGACGGTGTCGGGAAATGACGACTCTCCTGACCCTTTCAAAGCAAGGGATAAAATTCCATGGGCAGACATAGGTCCGTATGCTCATGTGTTGGAGGTTTCGTGGCTATCTGTGGGCAAGGATCAAGGATCAGCTAGAATTCGCGGCAAAAGCTCTGCGACCTTTCAAGCGAGCTGCTGTTATTACACGTCTTGAATTTTTAGCCTGCTTCATAAGTTTTATATTGCACCTGGAATTCACCTAAATCAAGTTCGAGTTTCTTTTAGAAAAAATGAGTCACTTGAGGTAAATTTCTGAATATATAGCAATTAAATTTGTAGGAAATTGGTGGAGCATCTGTCAAAAGTGGATCCTTTTCATTTGAAGCACAAAGAAAAGCTCGTATTCTGGCGTATTTAGGTGAGACCTAAACATGAGTTTTCTTGTATTTTAGGAGTTCAATAAACCACCGCTTTTCCGTAGTCGAGTCCTGTGGTTGTCTTGCTGCGTATGCTGACTTCGTATCGAAATGAACGTCACGAAGATCTGGGGTGAGTTCTTGGAGGACATGGACTCTCACTTTGACCCTCCCTTGGACTTGAACTGTGACAAGCATCTGCTCACTGTTTGAAGTCATAGCTTATCACACTCAAGGGTACATTTGCTATTATCAAAACAATTAGGGGTATATTTGCTATTTCAACATATTGCAGGGATGTGTATGATATTTCTCCATCTTAATATTATAAGTGAAGCACTCTTGTAATATTATAAGAACATTTTTATTATTTAAACAATGATCACATTAGAAGTTGGTTGCTATAAAATGATTTTAAAAACTACTTGTTACTGTATTTACTATTTTTAAATATCCTACAATACAACAACCAATTGCTTTTAAACAAATTACATCAATTTACTTTAGTTTTACATAAGTTTAGTACATTTAATTTGACTCTTCATTCATCCATTCATACAAATACATCTATCCATACATACGTTGACAAAACTTTTGTCATACTGATCCAATCCATGAACCAATGAAAGCTCATACAACACTGCACAAATTAAAACCCTAAAAGTAAAAGGCGTGTAGAAATCGATAGCCTTTTTTAAAAGTAGAGAGCAGATGCATCCTCCAGTCGTTTGGGGGGCGCTGTTTACAATAGCGAAGGCCACCTTCCAGTTCTAGAAGCCATCGCTCCTGCAACATTCAGCTGCTACATTCCTTATCAGCTGACCAGGTTTTAGGGTTTAGGGTTTTAAACCCTAGAACCTGGTCTATTTTTGCTTTCAGTTTCTTTGTTTTCTTGGACTTTCTGCCCATGAGGAATTAAAACCACATCTTGCAATTATCCACCGCGTGACAACGGCAAGAATAACTCTGCGGTACGATGGTGAAACATGGAGTACCTGCAGCTGCATCCCACGTTGAAGCTGCAAGTGTTGCCTGCATGAAGAAAAAAGAAGAAGCAGAAGAAGAAAGGGCAGATCAGTTCGGTGAGAGAATAGTGATCTGTTTGTTACTGCCGGAGGTCAGAGGGTTGTGGTGAAAATGCTGGCAGCTCTTGACAACTCTTGGGAAGGTGCTTGTAATGAGCCAGAGGATTAAGTGTGCTGATTCTTTGCCCGTAAGCCATGCTGGTTCAACGTCCCTCCAAGTAACCCAATTGCTGTTGTTGCTCTTTTCCACACTGTTGATAACCACCCCCGTCCAACGTAATCTTCAGACGGTTACAAGGACAACGCTTTGGATCACTCCCTATGTATGATTACTCACACCATCTACATTTCATTGTTTGCATGCAAGAGATTCTGACATGAGCGGTGAAGTTTACACGTAGTAGGCAAATATCGCTGCGACCATTGAGCTTCCACAAGACAATGTGAAATTCTTGTCGTGGAAACATCTGGAAAAACAATGTATCTTCTCCACAAGGATTCCCCCCGTGAGCGATAACGTTAGGGGACCGTTAAGTTGCAGCTCTTGATGGTCGGCAGTTGCCGAAATGATCCTGGTGCCAGGATTTGATATTCTATGTACAAGAATTTTCTCAAAAGAGACCATTCTATGAATTCAGCTTCTCCAAACTGAGAAGTTTAAGAATCAAAGTTATCATGCGGGAAGAAATTGCCTACAACTGAAACTTAATAATTGCAAATAACCTCGCTTGAGAAAGAGGTCGCAATCCTTGAAAACCATTGCGAATACACTATCCCGTAGAAAGGGTGCAATCAAAATAGTTCGGTTTTATCGCCAAAATCTAACCAGTCCCAGTTTGCAATGACTATTTCCTGTCCTGCTACATGAACATTGTCATCGGTAGCTACTGTGGGTTTGAGCTCCTCGTCCTTGTAAGCCTTTGAAACTTCAGCCGCAATTTTTTCCGCGTTTTGAAATACCGCCTGAAACAAAATCACCATATTTGTTGTTCTTGGTCAGAAATTAAACACTTGAAAAAAATCAAGCACTAAATTTTTGGAGCAGGTAGCGTGCTCTGCACCGACCACATTATAAGCCTCATTCAATATCCGTCAGCATTTGGCTTATAGGTTTTTGAGGTGATGCCAAAAAATTTAAGATTTCTGACTGGAATGAGACGGGCACCATGAATACCTGCTTGTCTCGAAGCATCAACCCATCTTCAATCTCCAGATCAGCAGTGCTGGCGCAATAATCACTTTCGAAGGTCAACATTTTACACTAGAAATCACGATTGACGAAAACTCGTCACAACCAATTACATCAGCATGAAGAAACCTTGAATAATGCCCTCCTTGGTAACACTATTCGCTCCACAAATTCGTTTCAACGAAGTTATCCAAGAACCCCAGAGAACCAGTTGCAGACATAACAAGGCTCTGTCCCAACCAGGTAACCTAATTTTACTCAGCGCAATGCACTTCGTGTATCCATGAGAAGAGGATTAAAACGATACCTGAAAGACAATCTCCTCTGTTTGTTTGAAGGAACAACCATTGCTTTAACTTCTTCCCCAATAGAAAATACTCTTGAAATGTTATCGACCCGAGCCCGTGATATGTTGCTGATATGAAGTACTCCACTGCAAAAAAAGGCAAGAATACTTTAAGGTTAACATAAAGGCATTGCATTAAAGAATTTCCCAAAATAAAATTGACTGTACAAAGTATCACGTTAAATGACCTGTAAGACATGCCTTAATAAAGAAATGATACTACGCAAGGTATATTACCTGATATCGGTGTTCTTAATTCGAAGATGTACCCCATAAGGCTGAATAGGATTTGTGACAATTCCTTCTACTAAAGCACCTATGTAGGCATTTTTCGACATCTGGACAACGCACAGAAACATCAAAGACTTGAAAGCAGACTCCAAGACTTATTTGAGAAAGCAATACAGGAATACACAGACCAGGATTTAATACTCGTATTTAGAAACTTCCTAAGGCGTGTAAGTTCAAGAGTCAATTGACTCATTGCTTCATATAGATTTAAACCAGACTCGACGACTACTATGAACTTAAACAAAAGGAAACTACTTAGAGGTCCTTGAGAACATTCAATCCAACGCAGCCGAAAATTAGATTTAAAAAAGGCTTTGCACATTACCCAAGCTTTCTTTTCACTAATAACCAAGCTTCTCCTCTTCTCATCGATACTGCTGATCATCACAGTAAATTTTTGCCCTACCTGTTCACAGTTGAATTGATCGTTAATGCGGACTAATCCAAGCACACAACTATCGTCATACAGCCAACAGAGTGTACCCGTGACTACTAGTAAGTATAAGCAATTCACTCACATATTCTTTATAAGAGACGGATCCCTGAGGTGATGGCTCAGGGGGACGATTAACTAAGTAATATAGCGGTAGAAAAGCCCGTAAACCCTGCCAATCCACAACCACAGAAAGCGTTAGATACTTTTGGATACTGCTGTACAATGAACAGATCCGAAGAGAAACAGAACATGTTAATTATTTCATATGCAGGTTGACGATCACCTACAAATGAGTTTGTCAACCATGGAGTTATGCACACCCAACCTGATTATTGCAAGCGTAAAATGATGCATTGCTACAAGAACGTCTTCATAAGGGGAATTTGTTGTGATGCATAAAGCCGGGCCTAGTATTATCTTATTATTACCTAAAGATCACTAATGCGAGTACCTTTCAATTGAATGCAACACCAATGCGGAGTCCAAGAAATCGCAAAGAAACCCTTCAATGAACCACAACTTAAATGATTGAGGGCGAAAGATTTTTACCTCAATTTTAGTAACGAGTCCTGCAGGTGTCCATTCGGCAATCTGGACCTCAAATGTAGCATTATATTCTAACATCTGCGTTCCAGAAACAAGAAATACAACAATCAATGCCTATTTCTATCTCTACATGAAGGTTGCTCACCCGCAGCCCACAAATTCGACTTTACTACAGACTCATTCTGCTATCTAACAACAGAAGCGTTGTCTTTGAGTGGACGTGAAAACGGTTGAACAACAAGGTACCTGGCGAACCCGTTGCCAGGAATACTCTCGAGCGACGGATCGTGCACAAAGCAATGCTCTCCCACTTGGAGTGATACCCTTCACTTCCATCGTCAAGACTGTGCCCAGCTCGACTGCCATAGGGGCTTCAAGTGCCAAGTTCAGCACCTCCTCGTCGTGGACAAAATAAGGTCCACCAGCAGGACCAAGAGTGACATTGCTATCAGGCGAATTAGTGTCTGGAAACTCCCCAGACATATCTTTGATGTTACAAACGTCAAGTGGCACAACATTCTTCCAAAACAAGTGCCCTAATTTATTTGCGCCAATGTCCATGTCCAGCGTGCCATGATTTCCAGACGCCACAATGCCCATAACATAATCTCCTACCTTAGGGTTATAATAAACCCCTTCTTCATCACCATACCTTAAACGAGCCTCTTGATTTTTCTCCACTAATTCTTTTCCTGCTGCCCTTGCTCTTGCAAACCTCTCTAATGAAGTCATGTCTTTCTTTGGTGAGCTCAAGAGATTCGGCTGATTAACAGCAATTCTCGCAGTTGAAGCTTTCACGTCTGTAACAGCTGAATGCAAGGACCTGTCTGAGTCGATCGAGTCCACTGAAAGAGCATTTATAGAAGAAGTCTCCGAACCATCTGAATCAGGCCTGCCACCTTCTGGGGTGCGTATGGAGACTCTTGCCGGGGGGTCGACGAGGCCAGCACTGGTCGATGAATCTTCGGTTCCAGATTCAGTGCTGGCGTCGACTCGCCCCTCCCCATGATTGAACCACTCGTTTTCGTCGTTCAACTCACTAGCGGGACGAGTGTCACATGTTGCACATTGGGCCGGTGCTCTAATATCATCACCATCTAAATACAACGGGTTTGATCGTCCATCACCAGCTCCTCGAACAAAATCACGTGAATTAACTTGTCTAGGCAGAAATTCCACAGGTTTGGCCTGCATTCCCTGGGAACATACAACCGAGACAGCACGACTCGCTTTTCTGGGACTCACTCGGACCCTTCGCCTCTGCAAATGCGCTTTCCATTCTCGAATTGGTGCCGCAAAGAAATACACAGCCTTCGCGTCTACATTATTCTCCCTGAACGCACAAACTCCCGAGGAATAGCCTTCCCAAAGCTGGATACTCCTCTGTGACAGCATGGAAAAAGGCAGCCGAATATTTCCCACCCAATTCTCTATCCCACCCTCGCTATCAACCTCAATTCAACTCTTTCAATCGCTCCAGCGATCCACACAACCAAAACAATTCAAATTATAGCCAACTCTTCACCAACAAACAAACAAACAAACACACACACACACACACACACCAAAACACTGTAGTTCACTCAATCACAAACGACCCAAATCTTCACGACGGAGACACAAACCGCATAATTCTACTCCCCCAATTAGCAATCAGCTCCTCTACCACGGGTACACCATCATCACACGAACAGAACCCGAGATTCAAATCGCCGGTGGCGGTGAGGACACAACATTGCCTAAACGTTAAGCCATGAGAGGTGGCCACCAATATACAGAGCGAGCGAGCGAGCGATCGACCCCACAAGGCCCCTAAGATTAGGGCTCAGAGAAGCGCCGCGAAGTGGGAGAGTCAGGTGCCCCGGCGTGGCTTGGTCCACGTTGTCTCGAACTCCCCTTGTCCCCACCCCCACCCCCTCTCCCTTTCTCTTCCCCACTCCCCTTCAAGATAAGCTTCCGCGATGATGCTCATCGTCAGACGCTGCCATTCCGCTGCCGACGCGATCGCACCCTTCCTTCTCGTCGTCTTCGCGGAGACGCCCCTTGACGGCCCTTCCGAGGTTGAATCCCGCCCTCCCGCGATGCCGTCCATTTCGAATCTGAACGAACAGCGGACGATGAATCTTTTATCCTCGACGTCGACGAGAACGTCGTTTCTTCGTTCGTTTCTCGGGTGGAAAGAGCGATTCGCAGCTCGGTTTTGGTTCGGATTTTGTTCTCGACTCATGGGAACGACAATCTCCTCGCACGGGCACATGAGGTGGTTGTTTTTCTCGTCACTGTGATTGGAATGATACTCATCACGATTGTTTGTTTGTTTGTTTGTTTTTGTTTTTTGTTTTGTTTTGTTTTGTTTTTTTTTTCTGTGGTGATTTTGAATAAAGTGATTAATTTCAACCGTTTTCTATTTTTAAATATATAAATAAATAAATTTGAATTGTGATTATTATGGTCGTTTATAATTTAAATTTGATTAGTAGTTTTTTATTCTACTTATGATAAAATGTTTTGGAATAGCAACAATTTAGCCTATCTATTCCAAAAAGGACTACATAAAATTTGAATTCTTTTTGTTGATAAGATGAGAATCGAGAATTATTTCTAAAAATATATTATTAAAAACAGTTAACAAAATGCTACACTAAAAGATAAAAATATATATGCACTAAAAAATTAATTAAATTTATTTAAATTAATTTTAATAAACTTTTACAAAAAATCAGATACTTTAAGATATATAATTTTTTATAAATTTTATATATTTATTACTTTATTTTATTATTTAATTGCAATTGGATTTTGAAAAAAATAGATAGAAAATATAATATTAATAATAATAAATCTTTCAATAGCTCACTCAACTTCTTTTCTCGTCTTATATTTAGATATATAATAAATAATAAATATCTTAGCTATTTTTAAATATATATTCAACAATATTCATCCTCTCATGAGTTTAAAATTTTTTTGTTGCAATTAGCAAAATTCTAATTGAGATGCAAAAAAGAACAAAAAGATATTTTGAAGCAAAGGCACTTAACAATATTAAAAGTTACATTAAGAATCTAAATGTTGTAAAGTTTTTAAAGTAGTAGTTATAGTTGCACAAAAAGATTTAAAAGGATGTTCAAGAAACACAATCCCAAATTGCATAGTGTTTTAAAACCTTGTATTAAGTTTCTTGTTCTTAAAACTACATTTTTAAAGAACAAATACAAAGTAATTTTTTTTACAACTCATGATTGGTGTCTTTGACTTAATTATTTGGAGTTATAGTAGCAATGTATTTTAGATGCTTTATGCAAGCATTTGTTATATTTTTATTTTTAATTTATTTTTAATTTATAATTTTTTTAACAAAATTAAAATAAAGTAAAGCTCAAAAATACATACATAGAATAAGTAATAATATCTTAGTATTTTGTATTCTTATGGTTCTTATGATTTAGCAATTGTTTTGTAAGGTTCTTCAATTTCTTACAATATAAATCTATTTTTTATTTTTTATAAAAATATATCAATATAAATTGAGATTAATATCTCATAATCCAAAAAATATATATTTTATAATTTAATAGAATTCTCTCTCAAAACCAATTAGTAAAAGACGAAATAGATTAGAATAATTAAAAATATATATTTATAGTTTCTTTTAAAAAAATATATATTATATATATATATATATATATATATATATATATAAAGAAAAAAAAATAAATAATTATTGATATAATTGCAATACCTATGATTTTAAATTATTTAATTAAAATTATTATAAAAATAAAAAAAATTATATTGTAAAATAAATAAAAGGAACCATTAGGTGGACACTTTCTTCTTTACTTATTGCATGACCACTCTCATAACGTGTATCCTTGCATACATCCAATATTATCATTACCATATGCACATTAATATCATTATATGTGTTTTAACAAGGTATTTGTCTAAAAACACAAGTAACTTGATAATAAAGAATTTGAGTTTTGAATAGATGTGTGTTGTTTCTATGTATGTGAGGAATTTAGATTCTAATTGAATCATTTTAAGAATTGTGTGTACAATTGACATTAGGATTTTATTGTATATGTTAGTATTGATGTTTTTACTATCATTACATATACAATTTCAACTTATACATCATACAAATTCTTAGTTCTATAGCCATTAATATGTTGTTTTGTGTTCGTATTTGCATCATGCAAGACAAAAATAATAATGTGGATTACATGTGGGGCTTACAATTGGTACATAGTGCTTTAGAAGATAGAAAGGCACTAGTAATAGGGGCAAATGAAAAACTAGCATTAATAGAAGCTATTGATGAGGTTTTTGTGATCTCCATGACTAACTTGCTTTATGCTTGGCATATCTAAAAGAATGGTTTGGAAAATTTGAGAGGTGGTTTATAGCCAACAAGGATTTCAAATTCTTCACTTAGCATTAAAAGAATATTGTTTATATTGGTATATAAGAAAATTTTCAAACCTTGTGGATAGAGGTACAAAGAGCTGAAACCTTTAAGAGAGAAATTATTGATTACTCATATGTAACTTAGATCCAACATTGGACTTGTTTTATTTGCATGCACATATGGAAAGTTTGTTATTTTGTTACTTCTTTTCTAGAAAGAAATCACTTTGTTATAAAGTGATGAAATGCAATATCCATTGAGAACTTTAAAGATGTATAGGACAAAATTATTCTATTTGTTGAAAGTCAAGACTATGCCATATATCATGGAATTATATATGGTCTACTAATATTTTTTTTTATATACCAACCATTTTTTTTATTTTTTCTATTTATAAAATATAATGCTATTCCATGCATAAGATTCTTAAAAAAATTAAATTAAAATAAAATAAAATAAAACTCACATAATGGATGACTATGCAATTTTAGATTGCATTAGTTTTTTGCAAACAACAAGAGAACATCCATGTTTCTACAAACTAAAAGGATTAATGGATGCTAATGAACCACTTCTTCTTGATTATTTTCATGGGTACTTGTGGCTAAATCAACCTCATCAAATGAAGAAATATCATATAATTTAATCCTAAAAGGTATATTATTGCAAAGTGCATGACATCATGAAGAATTCTTATCACATCAATAACAACTTTTGGAGCAATAGATTCATAATCTTTTACAAAAATAAATAAATAAATAAATAAATAAACATGTTATGAATCCACAAATTGCACAAGAGGAAGACTTGCTTGTAGTTTGACCTCTCTTTCCTCTTTGAGCACACAATAGATATCTTTTGCATTCGAATTGGTAGAAAATAGAAAGAATAAAAAAAATTAAATTGAATTAAATTAACTGAACTTAATTTATAGAGAAAATATAGAAATTGGACACAATAGGTGCAAGTTGTTCATATTTATTGAAAGGGAGTCTCTATGTAATAAAATATAAGTGTATATCTATCAATTCTCTATATACAAATTTATAAATTTTTATGGCTATTTTAATTAAACTTTATTTTTCTAACATATGTGAATAATATGCATTTAATTTATCTTGCATTAAATACTAAAACCATATTTATCTATCTTGTTAAATTACTTATTTGTTCATTACTATAGACAAAAACTTCTATTATAGTTATACACTATTTTTAATAATAATAAATAAATATATATATATATATATATCATAAGACATTAAAATAAAGCAAGACAAAGAAATTAAAATTATATAAAAGATAAGATGCCATAAATAGTAGAATAAGTTATTATAGTACTATCTTTTTGTCCTAGTTAGAAAATATAAAATCAAACATAATATTGTTATAAGAGGAAAGATGATATTATTTAAAAATAATAATATTATATAATTTTTAACTATTACAATATTGATAAAATGGTGTAATATATATATATATATATATATAATCACTTAAAGATGTATACATTAGTAAATAATTGATTTCAAACTAATTTATAAGAGGAAGTAAAATTCTTGTACTATTCTACCAAAAGACCATGTTATAAATTAGAAGTATTTTTATCTGTTAAAGTTTAATATTTTTGTTTGTGAGACAATTCTCTAGAAGAATTAAAACATACAAAATCTCAAGTTTGTTCAGAGAGGAGAAAAATCAACAACGAAGAATATTCTTAGATATGCAAGATTATTCCTAGATATGTACTTTTTAGTTATTTTTATTTTATTTTATTTCATTTTTCTTTGTTTTTAAATTCCGTGCCACTTAGTACTTTTGGAGTATGTCAACATTAATGAAACAACAAATGGAACATTGTTGTGAAGGGGGGAACAACATGTTCACGAGTTCCAACCCACCCATAGAGTTGGTACAACACTCAAATCAAACCTCGCAGCTCCATTGGAGCCACGTCGGACAGCCCTAGCTAACTCGTCCCTATTCATCCATCCACCATCCATCCACCATCCACCCACCATCCATCCAACAATCCATCCATCACCACCATCCATCCACCCATCCATCCATCACCACCATCCATCCACTCATCCGTCCACTCATCAATCCACCCATCCATCCACCCATCCGCCCAGCGCACCTCTACGCGATCCCGTTCATTCACCAACGCAATGCGCCATTTATTCATCCAAAGAACATGATTGCCAGACCCGGTGGACAATTGTAGACCCCATCCGCTAACCAGAACCCAAGCCCATGCCGAACCAGAACCCGAACGGAAACGACGCGTGTGGAGAGGGGGGATAGGGGGGTCGTCGGCCCGTTCCCTGCTTTCGCGCGGGATGCCCCGCTTCCAGCGGGAAGCCAAGGGCCGGGCTGGGTTTTGGCTGATACCGCAGGAAACTACGACGACGAGGGTTCTGGCGTCGATCGCTTCCTGCGCTTGGCAGTGGGCACCTGCACCTGCACCACTGCTTTTATAACTATTCAACTCCGTCGCGTGGCTCTGCACAAGTCATCGCCACGAGCGGTCATCACTCCTCGGGCTCACGTGACTGATGTAGGTGCCCCTTTCTGTCTCTCTCCCCTCCCTCCCTCCCCCATTCTGTAATTGCATGTGATCAGGGCCTCCGTTCGTTTTGATTTCAGGGGCGCTGGTTCGACGTTGAGAAAGTAATTGAAATATGTCTCTTGTTGGAATTAGTCACGGGGTTGTGATTGATTCATCGAGGAGCGGAGGTCGATAGTTAAGCGGGGCCAGGACAAGGAGAAATCGTTCAAGGGCTCTCGGGTTTTTGGGCTTGTGTTGGTTCCTTCTGTTGCTGGTCTCGTGAAGTCCGCCCGTGCAGGGAGGTTTGTGAGTTGTGCATTTTTTTCGGCTCAAGGGACGGGAGTGTAAGGGTTTTGGTGATTGTGACTGTGGTGGTTTTGGTTTGGTTTGTTTGTTTTGTTTTGTTTGTTTTGTTTTTTTTCCTTTCTTTCCCCTCATCGGATGAGCTCTTAAGGTGATTTTTTATTGACCGGTTATTTTTATTTTTATTTTTGCTTCATCGTTCTGTTTTGTCGCTCTGGTTGGGATGTTGTTTTGAACTGCACGAGTGCCTTCAAATGAGAAATGTGTTGGTCCTGGGTTGAGGGATTATGACGAGTCTCAACCCTTGGCGGTTTGCCTGGGCTTCGTTTCCAGCGGAGTTACGTTTTCATTCATTTGTGATTCTCGCACATTTGCGAATGTGGTGTCAACTGTCGCGTCTTCAGGAAGTTGTGTCCCCCATAAACGGTTCATTTTGAGTCGTACTGCAGCATTCACCATTCGTATCGTTTCATCACTTTTAGTTTGGGGAAACAACACTGTGCAGCGGCGTTTTCTTTTTATGTTTTTTTCATTAGTGCGTCGTTCTTTGACTAACTGCACCTTAACCTGATGAATAACACCCGTGTTGCATTCACGTAACAGCGAGAGATGGCAACGAGTGGTAACGCACCTGCTGCTGGTCCAAAGCCAGAGAAACCTGCTGAGGACAAAAACCGCAGCAAGGATGAGCTTATAGCCAAGGCTGCAGGTGCAGTCGTAGCCGGCGGCATTGTCTGGAGCTTGTTCAAATCTGTCACTAGAAAAGAGAAAAGCCAACAGGTTCACACTCAACAATATACTACAAATGACTTCCCTTCTCACGGTTGGAGATTCGAAATTGCTGAGAGATTTTACTTGATCCTGTCTGTGCACAGGAGAATGAAGGTTCGTTGACTAAGGAGGTAGGACACAAGACGAAAGATGTTGCTCAGAGCGCTGAGCACAAGGGAATTAGTGCAATGCACACTTCGGAAGCTGCCGGAGGCGCACTCTCACACTTCGGGAACAAGAAGTTGGATAATTGCAAGACAATCCAAGTGCACAAGGGAGACACTCTCTGGGGCATTTCCAGGAAATATAACGTATGTTCTCGAGTTAGCCAATCCTCTCCATTGACTTGGATTGAGTCGCCGCCCTTGCTGCCCACTTTGCAGCGCTATTTGTACAAATTCTCATTATTTGGTGTTCTGTTGACAGGTCACCGTGGAAGCATTGATGGCAACGAATGGGATCAAGGACGGAGATAACATAGCTGCGGGAGAGTCGATCATGGTACCCAAATGAAGCATCAGCTGATGTTTTTGGGTTTGTAGCAATTAGTGCGCTTCCTTTTAGGATGAAAACACTAAATAGCACAGCATCATAAAACTCCTTATGAGGTTTCCTTCATGTGGATCTCATCCCAGTATGCAACGCCCTCCTAGGAGACTTGTCTTCCATAGAATCGACACTGTTTCCTCGTCCGTGTCTTGGTTTCAGCAGATAGTGTGACAAGGATGCTGCGCAATGCATTGAAGCTTGATTTAAGTTTTCCTTTTGCACAATTCCGACGAACTTGCCTTCTTTTTATTGCTATCTTGTAACTTCTCACATGCTTGAGCTGAATGTGTGAGGATGGTCACCAAAATACGAAGCCTAGTAATTGGTCCTTATACAGTTGCTGCACGAAGCATCGCATGAACACCAACCAACATCATGTCAAAGAGGAGCACAAGCAAGAGAAGCTGTGATATGGCAATAGTCTTGGCAGTGGCCAGGCAGGTGGGTACCAGAACTTAGTTTTACTGTAGAACCTGTAGCCATTTATTTCTGTGACACATGGGCATTGCATCAGAAGAGAATCAACTGCTCTCCATCTCGCAATCACACAGACAAGCGACAAAAGAGGTAAAGCCGATCATCCATTTTCTATACTAAGAACTTCCAAGGAATAATTGACTGAAATTATGTGCACAAGTAGATGACCACACAGGTGTGACGTGTAATTCGCATCGAAAGATTACATTATATTTATAATGAGTTGTTCCCAATGCAGTCATTACAACGAAACTCTACTTACACATATGCTGTTCTGAATCAATAGGTTGTACTTCATTTCTCCTGTAAGAAAATTGTCATGTACAACATTGTGTATGACGTGAAAATATTGAATTAATTTGATTTTTGTTTTTCAATGTATGTGCAGCCTTAAAGCAACTATTTCAGTTTTATCTACTCAAAATGCATTGTATTTTCATGTCAACTGTAGGATTGTAACATTATCATTTGAATTTGAATCTTTGGGTGACAAATGCCCAATATACACAAACATATATATATATATATATATATATATATATATATTCTTCAGAAATGACAGGTTCTTATTTTATGGAATTGAAAATTAGAAAAAAAAAAAAAAATAGCAACACGTAAGTGCAACAACCATGCACCTTAAAGAAGCTGTAGATTTCATGTGTGCAAAACCATGGCTAAGGGCATGCACACCTCCCCCTCGGAGGGTATCCTGAGTGGACCGATACCCGGATCGGAGTACATCCATCCATTATATGTGTGAAAAAACTCATCCATCCGATTCTTCGTCTTCCTCGTTTTTGAACTGAAGATCCCGCCATATTGAACTGAGGTTCCTATGAAGCTGTGTTGGCGCAGGGGAAGATTACGATGTTCATTTCCTCGAGGCCGATGCTGGGTTGCAGTTCAGTGAGGTGAGATCAGTTGTGGCCTCGGGGGATCTCTCAGGGTTTGTGAAGAGTGGAGGTAGCAATGGCGGACGAGGATGAGACAGAGTTGACGTACGAGGAGAAGCGGAAGCAGCGAGTGGAGGAGAATGAGAAGAAGATGGGGGAGTTAGGGCTGTTGAAATTGGCGAAGAGCGTTTCAGAGGGTAATGGCGGTGCCTTACTGAAGAAATCCACGAAGCGGAAGATGATGTCCTCACTAGAGGAGCTTAGACTGGAAGCGCGACGATCATCGCGAGTTGCAGCGAAGCCGGCTGTAACTTATAATGACGCTCCGGTCCTGTCAGGGCTGCGTGAGAAGGTTGAAACGAGGCATGGACTGCCGAAGCAGTATCTTTCAGACAAACCGCGGATGGCGGCCATTGATGCGGCTGAGGCGGTTTTCAAGGATTTGCGAAATCCGGCGTTTATAAAGTCGTTATTGCATTCGCACACTTCTGGTGGATTTTGGATGGGTTTGCAGAGTGCTTTCTGCAAAGAGCATTTGCCCGTTGATGATGAACGTATCATGCTGGAGGCAAACGACTTGGAGTGGGAGTGTATATATCTTGCAGGCAAAGGAGGCTTGAGTGGTGGATGGCGGGGCTTCTCAATTGATAACCAGCTTGCAGATGGAGATTGTTGCATATTTGAGCTCGTAAATCCGCGTAGATTCGTGGTTCACATCTTCCGGGTTTCCAGAGATGAAAGTCTGAAACCGGTGAAAGCAGGAAGGGAGAAAAGTAACAAGAAAGCAGGAAAGCGCTGAACGCTGTCGGCAACTTGGAGGATCAAGTTTGAATTGTGATAATTGGAGCATAATTCGCTTTCCTCCGCTTGCCACTCTGTGATCCGTGTTTCAGGGCGAATCTCAATGCAGCTACCACGCTTGACTCTCATTGTCCTCGACAATTCGGAACTCATTTTACACTCTGGAGTCTTCCCCTTCTGCAACCTTTATGCCAATCTAGAGCCTTGTCTCGCTACATCCATTGGCAGGTAACCATCGGTAGCTCCGCAAGAAAGACACAAGGCAAAACTTGGATGTGTGATAATTGGACTAACGGCCATCTTACCTCACGAGCTTGTGAAGCTTCTTTGTCCGAGATTGGGTGCTCGTCATCTCGATAATTCCACTCACTCAATTCATCATGAAGTATGTATATTCACTGTACTGTCGCCTTATTAGTTGCATTTGAGTTGTCGTAGGTCTAGAACTCCTGTTTTTAACATCGTCACCTAGGTTTTGACTAAACATATTGTGGGGAATTTTGGGAGGCATTCATTTGGAACGAATGTGAGTGAAATTTATTTGATTCTATCATATCCCAATCGGTTGATTAGCTCCCGAATTTGAAACGGTAATCACTAAAAATTCTGCGCAGTCAACAGCGTCGAACTGTGCCTAAATTTTAAAGAAGAAGGCATGTATCAGCTATCATTGTGAGAATGTTACCTTGAAGTGGGTCTCAGGTCTACATGTAGCAATTATACTGCTAAGCTAGCCTTAAACTTGTGATGATACTGTTTCTAATGCCCAGGGTGGAGTTTGAATGGTTGCAATGGACAATTGAATGTCGAATTCGAAATATCAGTAAGGCTGATCTATCTTCTCTAGGTGGCTGTAAGACACGCGCCTGTCCTGCCTAATTGATCTTTTTTTCCTACGAGATTTTAGCTTCTATCCAAGCGTCAGCAGGTTCACGTGCTTAGTGAAATTTCGAGGTCCAAGATTTCTCATAAGGTTCTTCGAGTAGAAGTTGGAATCCATTGTATTGAAGTGGGTTGCCAGCATCTAATGGGGAGAGGGTGTACAGATGCACCTAATAATAAAATTCATCAGCCATTCCTACGATATTGGAATGTTCATATGCGTTGGAGCTAACCAAAATACGCCAGCAAAGTGATCAAGTCTTGGCCATGATTATACGTTCCGTTCTGTACACTACCAGTGTAGCCCGTAGCAACGAGCTGTGTTTTGTTCGACCCAGATGAAATCCAGGTTTACGATCCATTGAGGTAAAGTGGAGTACAGAATGCACCTAAGCAGTTCATGGAGCAGGATTCACAGATGCCCGTCTGGGTGATCTTTAGAGGTTTGACGCGTTTGAGAGCGTCTGAGATGGATAACTGTGGATTCACGATCATGCCTTCCAATGTCGTGATATTGTTGCAGAATCTTCAATACAACAAAACAAGAAAAGAACATGTAATTTTTTTAATTTTAAATATCTGTATTGATTCAATATTCATCTCGATTTTCAAATTACTTTTGTTGCTTTTTTAGCATGTTTTTTTTATCCAAATTGACATTTACAGGAAATAAAACGTAGCTCCCTATGGAATAAAGTATTGTATTTATCCAATTGGGGTAGTTTTTTTTATTTGTTCTTCTAGCTAAGATAGAACTTGGACTTCAATTATATCAAATCTCTAATTGAACCTTTTTTTTTTTTTTTTTTTTTTTTTTTTTTCTTGCCATTGTAATGTCATTTTTATACTAACTTTCAAATTTCCTAGCAAATATAAAAGCTATACAGCTACTCAATCTAAGTTTCATCTTTCTCATTAGTTTGTATATCACATTTTAATAGTAAATAATTTAATATTCAACTTTTAAAAATAGTAATTGTTCAAGAAGCTTTGATATTTCTAAAATATTTTTTAATAAGCTCCTCAACCAAAAAATAATATACTATATATATATATATATATTACAAATATCACCATAGTTTTTTCATTACTATTAAGAATATGAACTACAAAAAAATTACAATAATAATAATAAATTCTTATATTATCAAAAAAGAAAAAACATACAATTAAAAAATAGATGTAGAATAGAAACTAGAATAAATATTGCTAAATAAAAAATGAGTCGGAAGTTTGGAATGAAGACAAAATACAAGAAAGATATTGATAAGAGGAAGGTAGGCCTCACTTTTACCTCTGTATATTATACCTATTAAAGAACTATATGGTAATGTCCTATAGGCCATATGACATGTATCTAACTTGTGAAACATGCATCCAATTTGTAAGGCAAATTTCCAATATGTGTGCCACATAACCAACTTGTAATACAAGTCGTTAAATGTGCAATATGTAACCAACTTATTGGCCAAGTTACCAATCTATCAATCATTTATAAAAATATTTAAAGTCTACATACTTTTTAGGAATCTTTCTAATAAAATATGAACAATTTAACTTACTTATAATTACTTCTATTTATTTCTACTTTTATAAATAAATATACTAGTGAATATTGCTATCGGTTGTTGAAGATCCAGAAGATCTTATATAGTTGCCACTACATAGAGTTAAACCATAGTAAGTTGCTAATAGTCAAAAGATAACAAAGAATTAAAACAAATAACTATAGTGGCGGCTAGAGTTTTAGATGGTGGCTATGATAAGAAGAATCTAGGATTTAGCTAGATGTAGCAAAAAAAGATGAATATGATTGTAGATGAAGTCTCCAACTATATGTAAAGAATATTAGAAGTGAGAGTCATCTTACTCCATACTTCTCTTAGGTGTAACCTTGTTGATGCTAAGTATTTTTGCTTCTAACTTCTCTTTCTTAAATAACTTATGAGCCTATTTATATTTTCTTATGGGTTTCTTTGAAGTTATTTCAAGTTTTTGTTGTTGTGTAGAGTAGATCATATTATTGTTATTGGTGTTAGGATTTTGAAACTTCTAACTTGTAGATTGAAATCTAGATCTAGATCTTTGTTTGCTCTTACTTATTATTAAGTGTATCTTAGATTTAGGATTTGATTTATACCTTATAGTGATATAATAGAATATTAGTATTATATTTTCTTACTTAGTTAGATCTTTGATGGACTAACTTTGTAGTTTCATGTATTAAAAAAACTTAAGGTACTTAAAAGACCTCTTATGGTGCTTAGAGGTGATTTGTAAGCATAAAAGTGATAGATGAGTGACAAATCTACTTTGAGATATTTATATAGTTTATTGAGCTTGTGAGAGGTCCTAGAAATGAAATTAAGAGTATTTTGAGAGTGAAAAATTTGTACAATTGGAAGGTCAAAATGGAGCTTTTGTTGGCTTCTTTGGATCTTTGAGATATTATAGATGAAAGTGAAGAGCCTCCAAGCATGTATGCTGATATAAAAGAAAAAAAAGGACTACAAATATCGTGAAAAGAAGGCCTTTGGATTGATTTCAATCAATATTCATGAAGCCAATATCTTCTATATTATCTTTTGCAAAAGACTAGCAAAAGTATGAAAGATTTTTTGTAAAATCTATGAAATTAAGAACTTATCTTACATCATCTATACAAGAAAGAGGTTCTTTACTTATAAGATGGAAGAAGATGAAGACCTCATGGCACACATGAATAAGGTGAAGGCACTTGCAAAGCAACTTGCAATTATAGACAAGTTTTTAAAAGTTGCAGATATTATCCTGATTCTACTCATGAACTTGCTCGAATCCTAAAACTACCTCATTGTGGCTTTGGAATCCATGAAGATAAAAGAAATCACAATGGACTACGTGATATTAAGATTTAGTCATGAAGTGACCAAGAGGAAAGAAAAAAAAACATCAAAGTGAAGATTCAACACTTTATTTATGACAAAACAAGGGCAACTATTTTAACCAACAAAGTAATGTCAAAAATTGCTTAATTTGTGGCAAAGTAGGATATTTTGCTCAAAATTACTATAAAAGTAGTAAGATGAAAAGAAAAAATAAAAATATTGTATAATATGAATTTGGAGGATAAGATTATGCATTCATGGTAGCAAATGGCACCTCTATGGTTGCCATAATAAGATGGATTGTGGACTTAGGTTGTTCGAAGCATATGATATCTTATAAGTATTTATTTAAGACTTATAAGGCTATTTCAGCATCAAATATGATTTTGGGAGATAGAAGCTCATATGAAGCATTGAAATTGGTTTTATTATGGTGAAGGTAGTTATAAATGGACAAACCAATAGAATTAGATTCAAAAACGTCTTCCATATATCCAAGTTGAAGAAAAACCTACTTTTGGTGAATAAACTTATAATAGAAGGTTTTATAGTTCAATTCAATAAGAATGGATGTTTTGTAAGAATATTGTATAGAAACATGGTTACTAAGGGCTCTAGAAAGGCATATTTATACTACTTGAAGTATAAGAAGGTTAATAGAGTGGAGGTAGCTATATTTGCTAAATTTATATCAAACCAAGACAAGTTGAATATATAGCATCACTATCTTGGCCATTTAAATGTGAAGAGCATGACAAAGCTTAAATTTATACTAAATAGCTTAGATCTTGGCAAAACAAGCCAAAATGTAATATAACTTGTATATAAAGGATGCTTATAAGGCAAAAAATAAAAGGCCTTATTTCCAAATGGTATAGCAACATGTGCTATAAAGTTATTGAAAATTATCCATTTTGATATATGTGGTCCTATGAAGACTACAAGTATTCGAAGAATAAGGTATTTCTTTACTTTCATTGATAATTTCTCAAGAAAGATTTGAATCTATATTTTTAAAGCCAAGAGTGAGTGTTTTTAGAAATTTAACGAGTTTAAAGCACCTGTTGAGAAATAAAGTGAGTAAAAGATAAAGGTGATATGAATGGACAATGGATGTGAGTACATGTCTATATAATTTAATGTTTATTTATAAAATGAAAGAACTGCTAGACAAATGAGAATTCTATACACTCTACAACAAAATAATGTTATTAAAAGGACAAATGAAACCAATGTGAAGATGGTAAGGAACATGCTACATGTTCAAAATTTTGATTATAAATTTTAGAAGGAAGTTATGGTGAATGCAATATATACAAGAAACATGTCTTTAATAAGTGCCCTTGCATTAATAACACCACAAGAAGCTTGGAGTGGAAGACGACCATGCATTTTATATACAAGGATCCTTAGATGCATTACATATGCAAAGACATCAAATTGTATGAGGTCCAAATTTGATGCAAAAGATACAAAGTATGTTTTCTTAGGATATTATGAGGATACCAAGGCATATAGGCTAATATGTTTGGACACCAAAAAGATCATTAAAAGTCGTGATGTAGATTTTTTGGAGCATAAAAGTACTTGTGATTACTTAAAAATGTATCTAAATAGGAATAAAGGTGTGTTTATAGATACATCTTTAAATTCAGCAAAAAGACAAGGAAATGAAGAAAATGAAGATGGTGAAGGTGTGAATGAAGATCAAGAGGCAAAGAAGATGAAAAAGAAGGCCTAACAAAATTTTAAATCCAGTAATAAAGATATTGAAGTTTATGATGATGATAATGATGAGGAGTACCAACCTTTGAGTGAAAAAAATAAGCTTTAAAGAAAAAGAAGCTTGGAAGAGAACATAGAATATAATAAGATGAATCTTTTTTAAATGAAAAGAGATATCTTTTGAGACAAAGAAGACCATGAGACAAATAGTAGAAGAACCATATCTTTCTTCAAGTAAGTGAAGAACATGCAAATGTTGTATTCTTTGCTGATCTATTGTCTTTGTGTGATGCTATAAAGTGCCAAGATGCAATCAAGTGGAAGAAGGTTATGAAAGAAGAATATCAATGTCTTATTGATAATGATACATGAAAATTGACACCTCTTCTAACAAATTGATCTAATATTGATTATAAGTAGATATTTAAGACCAAAAAATATACAATGGATGTGGTGGTGAAACAGAAAGCAAGATTAGTTGCCAAAGGATATTCTTAAGTTGCCGATATTGACTTTAATGAGATTTATGCATCCATTGCCAAATTCACCACCATTAGGTTCATTGTAATAGTAATGGGCTTGGAAATGTGTCAAATAAATGTGAAGACAATCTTTTTGAATAGAGAATTGTAAGAAAACATCTACATCGAGCAACCATAAGGATTTGTATAAGAAGGCAATAAATACCTTGTATGTAAGTTGAAGAAATCTTTATATGAATTGAAACAATCATCAAGAATATGGTACCAATATATTGACACATTTTTTTTTGTCAATAAGAGGTTTGTAAGGAGTAAGGCTGATTATCTACAATAAGTGATAGAATTTAAAGAATTCTTGCTGATTGTAATCCTCTATGTTGATGATTTCATCATCTTAGCTAATAATTTGAAAAAGATGGATTGAATGAAGGCCATATTAGAAAAAAAACATGAGATGAGTGATTTGAAAGAGCTCTATTATTACTTAGGAGTGGATTTTTTAAGAGATTGTTGTAACAAGACCACTATACTGAGCTAAACCAAGTATATTGAATAAGTGTTGAAAGAATTCTATACGGAAGAGTGCAAGTCCATTGGAACACCTTTGGAGACTAATTTGAAGTTGATGAAGCTCACAAATAAAGAATATACATAAGTTGAAGGTGAAATATAAAATATTCTATATAAGAGAGTAATAGGCTCGTTTATATATGTAATGGTTGCCACAAAAGTGGATCTTGCATTTAATATGAGTGTTATAAGCTAATATATGTCTAAGACAAGACCTTTGCATTAAACAATAGTAAAGATGATATTAACATACTTAAAAGATAAAAAGGACTTCAAATTGTGCACTGGTGATAAGTACATTGATTTGCAAGGTTATTATGATGCGGATTGGATTAGAGATACAAATGATAGAAGATCCACAATGAATATGTATTTTTTTATTGAAGTTGAAGCCATTTCATAGAATTATGAGAATCAATCTAATATTACAAGATCAACCATAGAGGCTAAGTACATGGCAGTAAGTTATTGTACAATAGAAGCATGTTGGATAAAATAACTCTTAGATAACATTGGACCAGTGCAATTGAAAGCAACTCCAATAAAATGTGACAATCAAAGATGTCTTGCATTTTCCAAGAATCCAAAGCACCATTTAAGAACCAAGTGCATTGATGTTCAACATTATTTTATACAAGAAAAAATTGAAGATGGAATAATAAGTATGAAATATTGTGCTACAAAAGACATACTTGTTGATGTGCTTACAAAAATATTAGTAAAGAATAGACACCACAAGTTGATAGATGCAATAGGCTTGAATGCCTTTTGATAATTAGCAAAGTAGAAGTATTGAAGATTCCAACTATAAGTAAAGAGTGTTGGAAGTGAAAGTCATCTTATTCCATACTTCTCTTGAGTGCAGCCTTATTGATGCTAAGTGTTGTGGCTTCTAACTTTTCTTTCTTCAATATCTATTACAACTACCACTAAAATCTACTATCTATTTGGAATATTTTTTGAATTTTTTGAATTTTGAATTTTTAGTTTTTTTGAGTTTTTTTTATATTCAATCAAATTATTTGAAGGTATTGAAAAAATTTATTTTGGTTGATTTAAAAGATTTTAAACAAAGATATTATGTAATAAATTGGAGATTGTAGTGGTAACAACAAGAAGTTGTAGTGGCAAAAGTAATATCCTAAATTAATTATTATAATCAATATAAAATATAGTAATAGAATAAAAGAGCTAAGATTTTTTTTTAAAATAATATAATAATTCTGTTTTTATAATTATTATTATTAATTTGACATTGAATATTTTATTTATTTTTCTAATTAATTAAAAAATCTATCTTTTATTATGCATATTTATACTTTTTAACATAACTACTTAAAAATAATGATGATAAAAGCCAAAGATATGTAAAGAAATCATATGTATAAATTTTATTGATTATTTTCTATGCCTTATTGGCTAATAGATCAAATTTAACTAGCATGTTTGTATTTTAGATTGCATTTGCACTACAAAAAGCTTCCACCACCTTAGTAGGGCTATAAATTAGTGAAGACGATATAAAATAGGTTAAAAAAACAATATAAATATCTCCAAAGCAAAATTAAGATGAAGTTCTTAAAAAATTAATCATAAAAATATTATGTTTAATACTTAGGAAACAACTATATGTGAAATAAGATCAAAATCTAACTTCAAAGCACTTTAATAAGAACTTAGGATATATACATTTGTTTTTTAGAAATAAAGATGTATATTTATAAATTTATATTTTTAATTTTCTTCAATTTTATGATTATATAAATGACTACAAGAAATTGTAATAAATAAATTATAAAGCTAAATTAATTATTTAATTAATATTATTGTTTCATCATGGTTTATAAATTTGAATTTTAGAATTTTTTATAACTTGCTAAATTTTCTTATATATATGTAAATTTTAAGTAAATTTTAAAAACTTGATGCACATTTCAAATATGTAGATTTAAGTTCAATTATAAAAAGAATGTTTAAAGAAACAAACCAATTAAAAATTCTGATAAATAAAATAATATATATATTATTAAATACCTAATTTCTCTAATTGTTTTATAAACATAATATGTAATTAAAGTGCAATGAAATTCACTTGGTCACCATAAATTATTAGAAAAACTGTATTTAAATGATATAATACAAATCTAAAAGAAAATAATAATATAGTGAAGGATAAAATTTAACCATAGTATCTTTAAAGATATATTTAATTATTATAAAGTACTAAAAATTACTTAATAAAAGGTAAATTTTTTATAAATAAAAATATTAGTTTAAATAAAAAGTTTATTTTTTATAAAAATAAGATACTTTATATAAAAAGCTTGTAAATAAAATAAAGTATTAAATAAAAAATATTGATACAAATAAAAAAAATAATATCACAAATAAAATAACTTGTAAGAGAAGTTGAATCAAAAAATAAAAATAAAAATACCAAAATTTTTAAAAATATTTACTCAAAGGTGGACATAAATGCCATCTATGTAATTTATCTTTCAACTTTTAAATACAAATTGTAAAGAACTAGTTGAACCCGTGCTATTGTTATGGAAATCCATGCCTTTTACAAGTATTACACAATGTGTCTTAAAAACTCAAAGAAGTCTTTTAGCAACATGTTGCCAAAAATTAGAATAATCACAAATAAATTTTATTGTTAATATCTTTCACTACTTTTACTTTGACTCTTGCTTCTGCTTTTCTTATAATCATATCTATATAATTTTAAAAATAAAAAATAAAAAATAAATTTTATTAAAAAAAATGTTAGCATATCATTTTATAAATACACCAAAATAAAAAAAAATCAAATATACAAAATATATGAATCATATTAGATCAAATGAATATATATGTATAAAAAAAAATTAAGAAATATGTATGAACCTCTTTGTTATTTTTACTTTCTTGTATTACATACATATAAACCGATTTCTTATCTATAATTCATTTATGATATTGAACTCTTAGTTTTAGCCAAGAAGTGATTCAAATTGCAATACTACAAAATAGGGTTCATAAAAAAATCCAAACATATCTTGATAATTTAAATTCCCAAAGAGACCCCACATGCATCTTAGCTATACAATGAAATCCAAATGGAGAAAACAACAAACAAATCAAATATATCAAATCAAAACTAAACACAAACAACCTCGAGCTTTGTGGCCCACAACTCCTAGTGCCATGTAATGTGGATCATTACTGCAAGATAAAGCTCCTGAGCTAAGACACAAACACACATAGAAATACAAGTATATATATATATATATGTGTGTGTGTGTATGTATGTATATTTGTATGAAAGTGAATGGAATAATATGAGAAAACACACATATACAAAAAAAATATGTATATATTCCTACACACATATAATGTAAAATCACATTGAATTCCATCTGCAATTAGCTAGTCTATTATATAAGATCGCTTAGGGGGATAAAGAGTTGAGACAAAATGTATTTTCATTTGTTACATGCATCTTTCTTTATTTTCATCAAAAAAATTAATGTTGTTTGAAATTCACATGGCGTTTTACTATTGATTGTATCATAAGACTATATTGTTCAACTAATATTCTAGATTGTTGATAATAGCATTGGAGCATCAAGAAGAAAAATAAGTAGGACAAAAGAGCAACAAAGCTCATAGTTTTTAGAATGCATTGCAATCAATATTCTTACAAAACTATGTTAATTTGCTTAGTGTCTAAGCGCATTGCTAATATTTTCATGCCAATCTTCTTTTTGGTTAAATCCTTTGTGGTCAAAGACCTCCTCTAAAAAGCATTAGAAGGTGACTACATTGAGGAAGACTTAGCAAATAACGATTAGATATCTATTTGCGATTAGGTTTTATCCTACCACTGACAGGGGGGGAGTGGGAAGTGAATAGAATAATATTTTCAGTGAAGATAGGATTGTATATGTCTCCTGAGAACCTGGATCCATTGAATGCCAATCTATACAAAACGGAGTGTAGGAGGGGATATAATGGGACAAAGAAGAATAATACTTAATTTTTAAAGAATCATACTAAATTCCATAAAATGATTCTATTTGAATCTAAATACTTGAAGCCTCATCATTCACTTTGAACTTAGAGGCTTGATTACTCATGAAGATCTACAAAATGGTTTATACATTAGATTGAACACACCATTTGATTCCTTGATAAGGAATACATGCTAAGTGACGATTGCATACATAAGTAGTGGAGCCGTGATGAAAAGCTTGTTTTCCATGCCGTTCTTGTTGTCAGCCATCATGAACTTATAACCCATGTTAGTGTTTTTCTCAAAGAAATACAAATTTAGCTTTATGATATCACTATAATGCTATTGAGTGAATCACCATGTCCTAGAACAATTGGTTACTCACTTCATTTCTTTTGCTACACACAAAGCATCCAAAGCATATAGACACCATCAAAAATTGTACTATAAGAAATGTTTTATATAACCATGAGATCAAAAAAATTTGCAGATTTGAAATGGTTGAAATGTAATCCAAAAGAAGCAAGGAAGTCAAAAGGATTCACCTCCTTCATCACTTCTAGTTTCCAAACTTGCAAACAATGCAAACAATCAAAAATTATTTTAATATTTAACTTTGCTTCATCTTGGTCAAGCTTTTGCTTTCTTTCATTAATCCCTAGGGTTCTTGCAAATCTGCAAACAACAATGTCACACTACCATTAATTGTTGAATCAAGAATCTAGTGCCAATTATGAGAAAGGTATAAAGAGGAAAGGTTTCTTATCACAAGGTGTACATTGCAACTTTGTCAAACGACTTGCACTATACAACTTCTGTTGCACAAAGCAGTGGGTGGATATTAAAAAAAATTGTTTCTTGATTATTTTGATCTAAAATCGATGTTATTAGAACAAAAAGCTAGAAAGATCCAGCCCCAATGCTTGGACAGAGTTCACAACAATGTACTCATTAAACGACACCGAAGAGAAGAAGCTAATGTACAGAGTGATGTCATAAGTACAATAGGCTGCTTTGGCTTTCAATCTTCATCATCCGAAAGTAGATATTCTTGTATTCTGGACCTGCGTGAATTGCACCATAGTAGATAGTTTTTATCAATGCTGAAACATCATAGCGACATGCAGAATTACAGACTGCCCATGAGAATATAATCCAGACTTCCTACGGAATGATTCTATTTGTGGTTCCCTTGAATTCAGAACTTATGTGGAGTATGTATTCGAAGGACTAAGAAGGACAACATCATAGCAATGGACAAAATTAAGCCCCGCAAACACATTCAGCTCACAGATTCGAAGTACCTCATCCAGCATTGTTTGTCTTCGAAGTTTGCAACAGCGCGGTCCCTCATTACTTCTGGTAGAGCCTTAACCATCGACTCTGTCTTTGGCTCATTCTTGGGCAAAATCTGAAACCTACAACTAGGACAACACATGTTCTTGAACGTGTCGGAGGATAACGCCGGTAGATCACCTTTGGAGTTAACAGAAGGCGATTCAGCATTGTTGCTTGACTTGTCTGTGAACTCTACATCACCATGCAGGAAGTCTCGCACATCCAGAGGAGCGCTGCAGATTGGGCAAAGCAAGTCAGGAACTGTGTTTGCTGCTGAGACAGTTTCAGGTTTAGGAGTCTCGATTCCTCTGCGCCTACGGAGTGCCATTTCAATAGGGCCGACTGGTGGTGTGTTGAAGACAAAAGACTTAAGCTTTCCCATTGTTCGTGTGATTGTGTACTCTCGGGAGAAATTTTGCTCCTGTAAAAGGATTAAAAAAAGGCACCGTTAAGGATTATGAAGTGATGTTCGATGGTCTCACTCGGAAAAACCCAATACTAAAAAAAGTAGCCCAATGATTACATTCATCACATGCACAAAATCTTTCTGCCCAGGTTCTTAGATAAAATACCACTCGTTGTAGGTGATGACATCACGTGATTGCTAATCCTTTTAGCCAAGTCAAAGAAAATTCATCTGGCAAGACCTTCAAGGATACATATTAGGTAGTTACTAGGTTCTTAGTTCATTTCTAATCTTAGAATAGCTCCGGCCAAGTTTTCCAAGCCCGAGATTATAAGGTGCCATACCTAATGAAGTGCTATGAAACCATGAGGAATGTTAACATCTTCGAACTAATCCATGTGAGAAAGTACGTTACCTGCAGCAAGGAAACAAATTCTCGCGATAATTCATTGATGCTCTTTGACTTGTCTGTGCCGTGTAATGTATTCTTGTTGACGACCGTTTTAAGGCTGCACAAAAAAATGAATAAAAAATGAATAAGCAGCAAAACAAGCTTACCAAAAGAAGGCCCATATGATTCAGTACATTACAATTCGTTCGTTCGAGGCAAATAAAATTCATTAACTGCTGAGAGCTTGGACTTAGCGCACTTGACTTATCCGTTTGATTTTGTCGGAGGTAAGAAATGGTGGACAGTGACATTATTACGGCCTTAATGGAAAGAAACACCATTGCGACAATCTCAAACTCACTTGGCTAGTCGACAATAAACATCAAGCTCTCGGGCGAGAACATCACGCAAAGGAAGAACAACTGTAACTGGCCATCTTGAGTCCCAATACTGTATATCCGCTGAAAAAGAGTATCCTTGCCCCTGCATTACACTTGATTGCAAAAGTTAATGTTTGCAGGCGAGGGAACAGAGAAAATTTACAATCATAAAACCCTGAACAATATCTTCATGTTGCTCATAAAAGCTAGTGCTGTAGGTGGATGCCTACCTTCGCCGTAGCAGCTATGGAACGTGCGGCAATACGTGACGAACATACACCTAATACAAGTTTTGTGTATCCATGTTCCTTAGCTATCTGCGCCAGACAATGTTTAGTCCATTAAACAAAACAAACCCTCCAATCGTCCAATTGATATGCGGATTCCCGAGCATGGTTTCGTAAATATACCCATTAACACATTGCAAAATGCAACCGATACATTAACTAGCATTTTATTTGAGATAATCTCAACAAAATAATTGATGCCTACGCAAACACACGCCATACCAACCTAATGATATTACGAAATTATTAGCTCTAGCTCTGTGCACCTTTTGAAGAACTTGCATTCGTAAATAGGTAACAAGATCCTCCTTCCCGGTTACGTCTTCCACATTCCTAAGCAATTCCTGGAGCATTTCTTCTGAACTCCTAATACCAACATCCTCATCCAAGCCTGCCAAGCGACCTTAGAATGTCATTCGCTCCCACATTCCCGTTCGTTGATTCACACGAGAATCAAACTTAAACCGATAATAAAAGAACTGGGAAATTCTGATTCACGATGATAGACTAAAGAAAACAGTCTATGGATGTGCCCACGTATTTTGCCGACTCCCAGTTCCGAGCTGTCTTCTAGGATTGACCTAGCATCATGGTTATCGGCAAGTACTAGAAGAAGAACCAGGTTTATCATAAAATAAGCATATTTTTTCCAAAACAAAAAATTGTAAAGAAGTAGTAGAAAAAAGAGGAGGAAAAGAAGAAGAAAAGAAAAGAAAAGAAAAGAAAAGAACCAGTACTTATTTCAAAAATTAGCTCGAGATTCAATAGAACCCACCTACAGATGAACGCAAACCCTCAGCTTCAAATACATCTTGAAGTTTGGCGATATGTAAAGGCACCGGTCTCTCACTTTCAGTTAAAATAATTGAGCTAATTTCTTCAATGGTATGTTCGAGGTCGAGGGACGGACCGGACCAAGCCGCTGCCTCGTCCACAAACACTACACCGAGCCCAAAAACACGCGTTCCTTGGCCTCTGGAAGCATCTAAATCCGTCTGTTGTCTCAACCTAATTTCGCGTAAAAACTCCAAGGCAACTCTGCAAATACAGATCAAGCCTATGAAACACAAACTAATCCTTCCAAAACCTACAGAAATCGAAAGGTAATAAAAGCACATCTTAATTCTACTTGAATCCCTTGCACATCCAACTTCGCATACGCATAAAAAAAAAAAAATAGCCCTATCCTACGCAATGGTATTGCATGACAAAACCAACGAGAAATAGAAAGTTTCTGCAAATGCACGAGCTGAAGGCAAGGTGATCAAACCTAGAAGCTGCTCCCCCGGAAAAAGCCACAAGAACATGATCTGCAGGAGTAACGAGCGAATTCTGATTAACAGCCGTCTTAAATTTGGATATCAAATTCGTGTGTAGGCACGTACAACACAGCTCAAAATCTTCAGAAGTTGGCTGTTCCTTGCACTTCGCGCAAACTCCAGACTTCTTGCCATTCGGAGGAAACACCCTCTCATCTTTACTACACAAATTCTCTGAGCTACAAGCATTCGTTCCACAGCCTTGCCCGGCTCCACAGCCCTGCCCAGACTCACACGCCATCGCTGATCAACTCAAAAAATCCTCATACAGTTCTGCAAGTTGCGCCCCACAACAGCACGGCCGAAGAGAGTTCAACCAATACATCGCAGAATCGAGACTACTTCGCAAAACGACATTGAAGCCCAAGGCGCGCGTTGACAATTCTTAGAATCGTGAATCAACCAGCAGCTCTGGGAATTAGGGCTTCCAGTGCTACAAGGAAGAGGATGAATGAGAACTCAAACTGATTGAACGAGAAATGACCTAAATAAGCTTTCTTCATCTGAAGAAGGAATCAGGGAACAAGCCTTAAATACGTAAAAAGACTAAGTGGAACTCCTCCTCTTTCGGCAAAGCCATCTTTCACAAAACCTAACTTTCTCGTTCCATTCTTTCCTAACTTGACTCTCGTTTTCCGTCACATCTTATACATTAAATTTCAAGACCCCATAAATTTAGGTTTTAAAAAACAAAAATACACATCACTACGGCCACGTCATAATAACACAGCTTGTTGTATACCACACGCCGATTGGCTGACTCCGAGCTTGTGCGTTTCTTATTGGCCTCCTGCCGTCACCTTTCCGTCTGGTCACCACGACAGTTCAAACTTTGTCGACATTCGCGAAAAAACTGTTCAACTGCACACGATTCATCAGAACCATCCAGAAAGTAGGGTTTTCTTCTAGCTGCACAGAACCGTGATCACTCACGGTTATGTTGATGATGTAGTAGAGCACGATTGCGTTCTCGGCTGATTTAATGTGGTGATCAGTGAAATGGTAGAGTAGGGGTCGGGGGAGAGTGCCCTCGCGGCTTGTCGAGACGTCAGTCGCATGTAGAGTGAGGAAAGAATACCTTTGTTCAGTCGTGCTCAGTGTCTGTTCGATTGTGCTTACATTACAGATGCGTAGTGAGCCTGACGTTTGTACACTCCGGTGAAGCTGGCAACGAGCGAGTGAGTTGAGAGTCGGTGATCTCTTCTTGGGAAATTTTGGGGCATTCCAGAGTAGTGAGATATTTCCAAGTAAAGGAGTGATTTCTGGGGTTGGGAAGAATTGGAGAGGACAGTGGGAGCGGGCATTCGAGATGGCGGTGGTTGCTTGCAAGCCACTGATCTGGTGCGCGCTTTTCTTGATTGTACTGTGCAATTACAATGCGCTCGCGGCGCCCGTAATGAGCATAGACTTGGGATCGGAGTGGATGAAAGTGGCGGTGGTGAATCTGAAGCCCGGACTACCTCCGATTTCGATAGTTCCCAACGAGATGTCGAAGCGAAAGTCTCCGGCACTTGTGGCGTTCTCGAAGGGCGATCGGCTGGTGTCCGAAGAAGCGTCGGGAATTCTGGCGCGGTACCCAGAGAGAGTGTTTGCGAGTCTGCGGGATATGGTTGGGAAGCCGTTTAGTGCGGTGAAAGAGCTGCTGAAGTCTCAGCATCTGCCTTATGACGTGGTGGAAGACGCAAACGGGCGTGCGAGGATTCGGCTTGGAGAAGACTCAGGGTATGTCAATTGGTTGGCCGAATGTATATGGTAATGATATTGCAGGAGTGTATGTAGTTGGCAAATTGACGAGCACGCAATTTGATGGGGCTTATGGACTGCACTTGTGGGCTTCGGTGAGTTGCACCATGTGTAAATTCGACTGATGTTGAAGGCACATGTGGAAACAGTTTCTGGCAACGTGAAATTACACGTATTTCAGGTTGTTGCATTTGACACAATTTCTTCGCGGACACATGGTCGTTGGGCAGGAAGGATGACATTGGACAAACACATTGCCGCAGAACATGGTGTTTACATATTGATGGAGTTTGTCGAGTCGTTGGGTTCGAATCTGTGGTGCCGTGAGGTTGCGAAGGCTCTGTATCTGTGCTCGTGTGTGTACGTGTGTCGGTTGGGGGAGAGGGGCGATATTTTCAACTTGCGATTTAAAACCGGGGTGACGAATTCGTAATGTGGAACGTCTCTATTGCAGGGCTGCTTTGTACAGCGTGGAGGAGCTGATTGCCAACCTTTTGAATTACGCACGTGTTCTTGCAGAAGCTCATACGAAGGAGCCTGTCAAGGACACGGTGATCAGCGTTCCGCCGTTTTTTGGGCAGGCAGAGCGGAAGGGTGTACTTGACGCTGCGGAGATCGCCTCTCTAAACGTGCTGTCCCTGGTCAACGAACCCGCTGGTGCTTCTTTGCAGTATGGAATCGACAAGGATTTCTCCGTCGAAGATCGTCACGTGGTGTTTTATGACATGGGCGCGTCAAATACGCACGCAGCGCTTGTGCACTTCACTGCATATACGGCAAAGAGCCCGGGTGGAGGAAAGAACTTGACAGCCCAGCAGTTCCATGTAAGTTGTGGGGCGATTAACTGTTAGGATCGTGGAATGTGGTGAACGTTGGCTGACACAGCGCAGTAGTGAGGAAATGTTCAGTTAGATGATGCCTAGTTTTTGGAGGCAAGATCGAGCACACGGGACTGCTGACATGGGAGTGATTGATTCGGGTTTTGGCTGTTGTGTAGGTGAAAGGAATAAGCTGGGATGCATCCCTTGGTGGACAGAATATGGAGACACGGTTGGTGGATCACTTTGCTGCAGAGTTCAAAGAGAAGAGTGGGATAGACGTTTTTAATCACCCGAAGGGCATGGCAAAGCTGAAGAAGCAGGTCAAGCGAACAAAGGAAATTTTGAGCGCAAATTCGGAAGCATCGATATCTGTGGAATCGTTAGTGGATGACCATGATTTTCGGTAAGATTCAAAGAAGATCCTTTCATGCACATTATGGCATGAAATGCTGGTATATATACTCTGCGATACTCGGGATGGGTGTGTGTGCTACCTCGGAAATGAGGATCACACTCACTGGTGATGTCCGCGAGAATGGAAACTTCTGCCCGAGTGGAGGCAGTTATCTTCGGTGTATTTATGGAAGACATGCACTGTTACACCCGTCGGAGTTGAAGTTGATTAGGCTGTGTCCGTCTGTTTACACTCTACAAACCATGAACAAGCTCTTGTTCAGTTGTTTTACCGTAAGTGTTGGGGCTTGAAAGTAGATGAGGGTCCAGTTCTATGCGAGGCATCTGTGAGATGCACTTTAAGGGTTGGCTTCATTGTGACGTAATGTTGTTTGCAGGAGCTTTATTACGAGGAAGAAATTTGAGGAGCTTTGCAAAGACTTGTGGGGGCGAGCGGTACTCCCGTTAAAAAAAGTCCTGGCTGACAACGGGCTGAAGCTCCAGCAATTACACTCCGTGGAACTTCTTGGTGGTGCGACTCGAGTTCCAATGCTGAAGGTAGTGTTTTTTTACTGTTGTCTTGGTGGTCAAACTGCGAGTCTCTGTCGTGAAACAGGAGAATTAGAGGTCTGGATGAAGAACGACCTAGAGCCCGATTGATGCAATCATGCGTGATGAAATGTATCGATAATCAGACTTTTGTGTTCGGAAAAGCATGCTCGAGAGATAATTCTCGGTTAACTTTGTTAAAGTGTGTTTTCGGATTGGACTTGGTCTTAGTAGAATGAGATGGAACATATACAGGTGTGCTTTGGACGTATATTGATTTTCAGTTCAGAGACTTATTTCTCGAGAGTATTTGCTCACTTTTTTCTTCACAGTTTTAGCGGTTGACTCTTTCTGTGCTGATGGGTTGAGCTGAACTGGTGCAGGAAGTTTTAACTGGTTATGTCGGTGCCCAAGCACTTGCCAGGCATCTAGACTCTGACGAAGCAGTCGTACTGGGGGCTTCACTACGGGCGGCAAACTTGAGTGATGGTATCAAACTGAATAGGAAACTCGGCATGGTGGATGGTGCATCTTATGGCATAGAGATGAAATTGGATGGTGCCATCTTGGAGTCCAAGGATCAGAGTCTCCTTGTACCGCTTCACAAGAACCTGCCCAGTAAGGTGCGTATCTCGGGTTCATGTGTACAATGTGGTATATAATGTTTCGGTTTCAGATGAGGGAAGTTTGTTTACCTGCAACTGATTCGTGCTATGGTGTAGCTGGATCTACTAGGAATTAAATCACAAGCTAACAGCTTTCAGATGGAATGACCGTTCGTTGAAGTGTAAGATGCGATGTTTGCAGTGGTGAAGGGTGACTACCCTGAATATGATGTCTAAGTGGTGGTGTGGGCGGTGAAATGGTAATGCAGATGGGAAGGACACTTAAGAACCAGTTGAAGGATTTCAAAGTGACATTGTCTTATGAGAAAGACGGGCCCTTGCCGCCTTCAATTTCTTCCCCTGATATCGCCGTTTATGAAGTGAAAGGCGTTGCCGAAGCTGTTGAGAAGTGCGTGCCTGTCTATCGTGTTCTATGTTATGAGTTTAGTTTAGTTCTTTGAATATATACCTATCCGGGTATTGTTGTTTAGTTGTTTTGGTCTGATGGCGCATAAAAGGCATTAATTGACTGGGAGATGTGGGATTCGCAGGTACAAGAATCACAATCAGTCTGCTCCCATGAAGACTGTGATGCACTTTTCTCTAGACCGTAATGGAGTTGTGAATCTGGACCGTGCGGAGCAGGTCGTGGAAGTGTCTGAGTGGGTTGATGTGGTGGATCCGGTGAGTAACATTACTGCGTTGCTTGCCAACCTTACAGCAAATGGGTCGGTGTTGGACATGAATGGAACGGGATCAGATTTCAACCTGACGAAGCTGCTGAATGAGAACGGAAATGGGACTGATTCAACAGGTCCGAAGCAGAAGCTGCGGAAGAGGATTCTGAGAGTGCCACTGAAGGTATTTTAGTAATAGGATTAAGAAAATGGGGTTGAAGATTATACCTGAATACTTGTAGGGTTTGTCGATTAAGTAGTATTTGAATACTTCATGGGATGATGCAAGGAATGAGGACCTAAAGGGATTGTTTGGAATTTTCTGATTGAAACGCATGGATTTTTAGTTGGGTCTGGTTTATCACGTAGTTTTAGTGGAACAGGTGTTGCGATCCTCGGTGACTTGGATGCTGATATTACGGGTTGTGGATTGTAATGTGCAGCTTACAGATGTGACGGAAGGGCCTGCGAGGTCATTGTCAAGCAAAGACATCACGAATGCCATCCAACGCTTAGAGAAGACAAATGCTGCGGACGCACAGAAGAGAGCAATGGAGGCAGCAAAGAACAACCTGGAGTCGTATATTTACTCCGCAAAGGATCAGGTATGAGCGCTTTGTGCAGCTGGTTAGTGAAGAAAGGGATTGTGCGTGTTGGAGTTGGCATATGACATGGTTGTTGGGTCTATTGTTGATAATTCTACTCAGGGTAGTGAGAAATGTTACTGTGTTCGTGAACTTTTGATTCTGGATTGTCCTTTTTTGGTTATTCTGCCCACTTTTTACACATGTTTACTAAGTTGAGATCGGTGGTTGCAGCTGGAAACCCTGATCGAGTCTGATAAGGAGTCATCTCAATCAGAGCGCGATTCTTTTATGGAGAAGCTTGCTGAGGTGAGGCTGCTGTATTGCTGTTGCATATGAGCATATGATTAAGGTCGCTTTATTTGAGATATGTATGAGAACTTAACCTGAATGTGTGATGGATAGATGTAAAATCTGGAAAGAAACACTTGGCATGTGGTGCCTGGTTGGTGTTAATGTGGTGTAGTGTTATGTTTTTGATATCCTGTCCTTGGTTGACGAAGATTGAAGTTAGTGTCTGCAATGTGATGATATGTAGGCGCAAGACTGGTTATACCTGGACGGTGAAGACGCTGGAGTGTCCGAATTCCAAACGCGCTTGGATGCACTGAAATCTTTATGGAATTCGATGTTCAAAAGGTTTGCCACAAGTGTTTGGACCCCTGAGAAGATGCTTTTAGTGCTTTCCCCTAATAATCCTGCTTTGCTTGCTCTGGTGGTTGCCTTGGTTGTTTGGTTGCGTTAGGTTTAGAAGTGCAGATTTGGATATGGACTTAAATATCTCTACCTTGTTTAACGTTTGTAATCCTTGGTGATAGTAATTTTCTGAGAGCTGGATCCCACTCATGTACCCTTTCGAATGTGTATTTGATGAGAAACTTAATGAGTTGCTGAAGCTGGGAAAGACGTTGTGTGGTTTTCATTTTGACGTTGGTAGTAAATTGATGGTGGTGACTGCAGAGCTGAACCTGTCAAAGAAGAGTCAGAAGGAAAGGGAGATATACCGTCTGACATTGTGAATTCAGGCGAAGAGGTGACGAAGAAAGGAGAGCGGGCCCCACGTGCGGAAACAGATCCTTCTAGCGCTGGTCACGATGAGTTGTGACCTATTTATGGTCAGATATGTAAGTAGGTGAGAGGGTGGCGGCGTATGAGAAGTAGAATGCAATGGAGGTGGGACCCTGTATGTTAATTGCATTGAGGGATCGATTGGATTAGAGGAATTCAGAATGACTGAAGAGTGACAGATCTTAGATTGGTAGGAATTCTGATAGGCAACAAACTTGCAGACTTATGTGACTTTTTATTCTTGGGACCAATTTGTACTGATTTTTACATTTCGGTGCTTATCAACCTGGAATCCATATTCCAATAACATGAGAATGCATCTATTATCCTCATACAGTTTCAAACGATTTTAATTTTATAATATGCAAACTTGGTAATTAGAGAAAACTATCCGAACCCTAATTACGGGATATAATGTAGTATAAATAAACTAGTTTATAAGTAGAGTTGATTTCTCTCCAGTTTCAGGTTTGCCTACATATTTCGCTATAATCTTACAACAACATCCACATTTTTATTGTGGAGAAAAAGAACCTTGATACCTTCGTCAGCAGTAATCAGCTTTAGACCCACCAAATCATTATTCCAGTCGCAACAATGGGGCAATGAGCTAATATACTCTTGCATTCTCTGTAGCACCGGTAGTGTAGATTTGACGACGAAGTCATTGCTACCAAATCAGAATTTTGAACTTATTGGACAACGTTTTTATACTAAAATACTACGTCCATGAATCTGTCACGATGTGCAACACTCAGTGAGACAAACTCGTTGAACTTTCGTTCCACATTTTTAGACGTCGGAAAGTGTTAGATTAGTATGCAGTAATTTGCAACCTCAGTGCCATTTCCGCTACACTCTGACCAGGCTGTCGCCGAGTCGCAGGTTGTCGCCCTCCAGGGCAGAGTAAGCTCCATCGTAAACAAATCCAACAAGCTCGCCGTTGCGAAACGCCATCCATCCCATGTCGTATTCTCCGTCCGTGACCACCAGGTGCGTGCCGAAGTCTTCAAAATTTGGAACCGATGACATGTCATTCTCCGAAGACGATGAACCCCCGGACGAGTTGCTTAAGTTAACCCGACGCCGCATCAGGTAGTTCCTTCGCTCAAGTCTCTCACCGTCCTTGAGAGCTTGCATTAGGTTTGGAAAGCCTAGTGCGTCCACGAGCATAAACCTATCGTACACCAGCGACCGGAAGTACTTCTCATCCTCAAAGTCCTCCTCAAGGTCAACTTTCTCGCCTGTGATCGCCTCCAGAATGATCTCACATCCCGGCGCGTGAGAGCCACTCCAATCGTAGCGATTGACGAAGACAATATCCAGATCTGCGAACTTCCCGTTATTGCAGATTCCTGCCTCGGATGCCAATCGGAGAATCTCTGGGCCATTCGCATCGACATGGTGGCAAACGAACCCAGTATGCCACGGATTTCCCTCGTAGTTGTCTTGAAACACAGCTTGCACCTTCCATAGTCCAGTGCGCGCCGCTACTTTGTATTCAAGCTCCTGTGGTCTCGGCGCCGTGCAAGTGAAACCTTCGATCACCGTGTGCACTTGTCCCCATAGCAGCTCTCCGCTCGTGCAACTGAAGAATGCAGGAACGGACTTCACATCCTCAATACTTCGAAAAACGCAAGACGAAACCTCTGCATCTGTTCGACGAGACTGAGCACAATTCCAATTAGCGATCTGGCATCATTATTCCGATCTACTCTTGAAACAACGAACTGACGGAAAGCAAAACTGTGAACCCTGATCGTAGAATTATAAAATGAATGTAAGCCAAGTAAGTACCTCTTGATTGTTGTCCATGGTGGGAACCCTAAAATTGTGCCACAAGCAGCTGCTGTTGTTGTAAATGGTGGGTGTTTGTTATCGACCATCCTCCTTGGTTAAGTTTCGGTGGACAAGGAGCTTAGTCCTTGGATTTAATTGAGTGGCAAGATTCATGCGCCGATATAAATGGAATTATTTAATGAAACATGTTATACTCGTGCCGATGTTATGAACCAGCCCCCAATGCTACTTCAAACAATATATGCCCACTCTTTATTTTTGTTTTTATATATAACAACCATTACCTTTCTATACTTTAGTTCCTCATCTCATTTCTTTTGTTTGTGAAAGGTTCAATCATGGACTTTAAAAGGCTAGTTCTAAGTTTATCAAAGAAACTCCATGTTGTTGGATTTAAATCTTCTAGAATCTATCTTATATATGTTATTCATTCATCACTTTAGCTCTCTTCTCCTCCTCTCTTCCATCTTTAATGTAGCAAGCCCTTCATTTGTTGATATTATGTTTTAGTTGTTATATGATATATAATTGCAAGATGGTTCTATCTTATTCTTGGTCTGCCATTATTGTTGCTTTTATTAAATTCTAGCTTAATATTGTCCTTACTAAGTACTTTTGTTACTTTCTAGAAGAGGAGTTGCTTTACATGTTCTTATAATTAGTTCTAGTATGGCCATGACAAAAGTTGCACTATGACCAATCGCTTTATTCTTTCTATTCTACATCATTGGTTTATCACTTTGCAATCATATTTCTATATTTGTACTAAATTGTTTCGTGACTTGATCCATTAGAACAATATATAAGGGCTTGCTTATTCACATAGCCTCTTTTTATTTTGATTTTTCAAGTACCACAATTACAAAATGTTATACATTGCATGGTCAAAGAGGATAGTAATAGAATGACTCATGCTTGTATATTCTTGCTTAAATGGAAATTGAGATTGGAAAAAAAAAACAAGAAAAAGATGATCATATTTTTTGTCTTTAGTTTGCTTGCTCTCTATTGTCAACTTATGTGTTTTTTGTAGAATGCTATATAATACCATATCTTATATTCTATCTTTATCAATTAGTAAAATTTTTAACTACTCTATATCTATTTATTGTTGATTAAGAATAGTACACAAGTTGATTTGTAAAACATTGTTGAAGTACTAATATCCACTCCATTAATATGAATTACAATGGTGGTTTGATTTGTTCTAGTATATATAATGTGTAATATTAGATTTAAATCCTTCTATTATTATCTTAGCTTGTTTGTTATTTTTGTTTCTCTTTGGTATTATAAAGTGTATATTAATATTATTGCACAATATTTCAATATTATAAAATGAAAGATCTTCTATATTTGTATATAGATCTTGATCAACAAACTTGCATGGTTGTACTCTTTATGCAATTCTTTGTATAAATTCAAATCCTTCTTCCTTGAATAAATATATTATATTTTTTTAATTTGAGTTGATTTTTAATTCTAATTCAATGATAATGGTGGTTAAATTTTGGTTGAGACCAATTTCTTTGTAAAGATTTATTATGTCTATATAAATGTTAGATCTTCTTAAACATAATTGATGAATCAATTTCTTTATTCATTTATTTGTTACAAAAGTAAAGCCTTCTTAAATTCTTTATATTCCTTCTTCATTTATTTTATTTTATGTTTGCAAGTCTTAGTATTTGTTTCTTCTATCCATGTTAGTAGGATCAAATGTATTTGGTTTTTTTTATTCCTTCAAGTTATTTTTGCTACTTTTTTAATTTATATTTGATTAGATATTATAATACAAAAAAATAATATCTGATTTTCTATGTGACAATTGATTATTTGAAATGCATCTAGAACAAAGATTTGGTCAGAGAGGAATAAGTCAAGTAATGATTGTAATTCCTAAGTTTTCAAAAACTTATTCATTAAGGCGAGAACCAATGTAAATTGATACAATATGTTTAAAATTTCTTATTGAATAAGAAAAGATTTGTCATTGTTGTCAAGAAGATATATACATATATTATAGGAAATCTAAGCACACTACTCAATATTGTCCAAAGAAGCAATGCAATTATAAAATGAGGAGCATGATTGCCAGAGAGGATGATATGTTGGAAAATAAGTTTCTTCAACTACAATAAGGATTATGTAGTTAGAATCTTATGCAACTCCTAATAAAGATTCTATTCTCTCTTTATATCCCTCATATTGTTTTACAATAGAAATTTGTTTAAGACCAAAAAATCACAAAGGCTTAGCCTTGTTGGATTCAAGAGCTTCAACCTATTTTATAGATTGTCAAGGACATATACTAAGAAGTTGTAGAAGATTCTAGAAGGTTGTAGAGAAGCATTGTACTTTGTAGAAGCTACTTGAGAAGTTTTCAAGCTCATGGAAGCTGCTTGAGAAGCTTCCTAGTTTGTAGAAGCTACTTTAGAAGCTTCCTAGCTTGTAGTATATATAGGAGTCGAGACTCGGAGGATCCTCAATCTCGACAACACACCTCTTGGAGCTCTAGCTCACCTCTCTAGTATTGTTCTTGTACTCATCTAAGTAATCTATTTCTTATCGATTCTTCTTGAGCTTCTTGTTTAGATTTCCAATCAATATTCTAAATATGTGATAGTTTGTCGAGATTACACTCATCTTTCATATCAGAGCTAGTTCCTTCTTCTTAGAGTGGGGATTATCCCTCTGCTTGAAGGTGCTGGTATTTTAGAAGTTGCGGATTACCTTCCTCTAAATTGATATTTCTTCTATTATAATATTGGAGTCTTATCTTTCTTGGAAAAAGTGGATTATCCCTTTTTTTAAAGATTTTAAGGCATTTTAGAGGTTGTGAAGTACCCTCCTCTAAACCAATATTGCCTTCTTCTAGAGTCATTCCTTTCCTTCGCTTAGAATGGCCGGAGGTCAAAATATTAGTATGGCTGAAAATTCGGAGTCCAAGTTGGATGCCATTATGAATGCTCTTGCTATGTTATCATAGAGAATTGTAGAGATTGAAGGAATCATTATAAGACTTTATAATAATAGAGCATTTGGTATGGCACAATCGAGGATTCACCAGCTTCAAGCTTCAGCACCAAGAAAAGCAGCTTTGCCTCTAGTTCAACAAGGACCGTTGGTCTTACAACAAAAGGAGCCCCAAATTAGCCTTCTAGGCAAGTTCGATGGTATGCATTCCAAGTTTCGAGGTTTTGTCAATTAAATTAGATTGATAATAGCTTTACAGCCTGAACGCTATCCGACGGAGGAGTCATGTGTTGGACTGGTTGGAACTTTGCTCACGGGACAAGTTTTATCATGGTTTGCTCCTTTGTTTGAGAAAAGATCGTCAATTTGGAACAAATTTGAAACTTTTTTGGAAGCATTTGTGGAAGCATTTAGCAAACATGACAAGGCGCAATGGGCTACAACAAAGATTTGATCGCTACGACAAAGAGCACACTCCGCGTCAATCTACGCATCAAATTTTAGACAATTAGCGTGTAACATCAATTGAATTGAGGAAGCATTGATGAGTCAATTTTATTGAGGCTTAAGGGATGACGTGAAGGATTTGCTATTATCTCTTTTCGATGCACAAACGCTCAACAAAGCCATTAGCCAAGCTGTGAAGTACAATAATCACCCATTCCAACATCCTCAAGACAACATACGGCTCATCATGCTCCAACTATATCAGCAAGCAGCTTGAATTCACATTCAGAGGTGGAAGATATGCAAATTGACTCGGTATGTGTCAAATTCCTAATTCTAGAAGAAAAAAAGTGGCATATGGAGGAAGAACTATACTTGTTTTGCAGTGAAGAAGGCCATAGAGTTGAAAACTACCCCAAGAAGTAAAATCGACGCATTGTTAGGACCAGAGGTGCATTTGTTTAAGAAAACAAAGATGTCTAGTCACAATAGGGACCGTGCGGCTGGACAATTCAATACCACAATAACAATCAAGTTCCTCTCTTTCCGCTCAACCTGTCCATTGCTTTACCATTCCTCTATCTTTTGGCCCTCAGAAACTAAAAACCTTAGCGTTATTAGATTCAGGAGCATCTGCTTATTTTTTAGACGAAGAATTTGCTAAGCGTCACGAGATTCTTCTAATACATAAACCTAAACCCGTTCACATAGAAGTAATAGATGGACGACCTTTATTATCTAGTAATGTCACCCATGAATCAGAACCTATAGAGGTGACGTTTAAAGACCATAGTAGTTGTATTATTTTCAGTATTATTAGAACCCCATCAAACATTATTATTCTTGGTCTTTTTTGGTTAGAAATGCATAATCCATCCATAGTTTGGAAGTTACGAAAGATGACATTTTCTATAGAACATTTCAAGAATAAGCTTGTTACAAGATTCTAAATCAAAAAATCCTTACTTATTCGAGTAAGAGTGTTTGTAACATTGTCCAAGGAAGGCACAACACTTGTCATTTATGCGACTCTAACTAGCAAAGAGAAGATTTTGACAGCAAGTATATCGGAGCAATATAAGGACTTTGAAGACATGTTTCAAAAGAAGAATGCCGACATGCTATCGGAGCATCGACCATACGATTGTGCCATAGACTTGCAAGAAGGAGCACAACCACCTTTTAGCCCAATCTACAATTTGTCGCAGATGGAGTTAGTGGAGTTGCAAAAGTACATTGACAAGAATCTAGCCATGAACTTCATTTGTCATTCGAAGTCACAAGCTGGGATACCAATCTTATTTGTGAAGAAGAAAGATGGCTCACTGCGGATGTGTGTGGATTACCAAGGTCTCAATAAGGTGACAAAGAAGAATCGTTATCCATTACCCTTGATATCAGGTCTTCTACAGCAACTCAGGCATATAAGGATCTTTACAAAGATTGATCTAAAAAGAGCTCATAACTTGGTGCGAATCAAGGAAGGAGACAAATGGAAGACAACTTTTCATACAAGGTATGGCCATTTTGAATATAATGTCATGCCTTTCGGTCTTAGCAATGCTCCGGCGGTGTTGTGTTTTAACACGAGTATACCGTGAAAATATAAAGAAAGGGGACTTTTATTAATGTTCAGTTACCTCGAATATTGGGAGCAACGACCAACTCCAGTGCAAATACTGAGTGGCCAGGTTTAGTCACCCCGTTACAGTCAGTTGGG